TCTTGCGAACGGAGGAGCAGGGCGGCGACATCGTGGTCAAGGATATCATGTGTGGTGATGAAGCCGCCGCTGCACGCTCAATGCTCCAGATCAGCTATCCTGTATGTTTATCTCGGGATTTCTTGTCCTCGCCTGGTTATGCTACCCCGCCCTCTCCGCAAACCAGGCAAGTGTCTTGTCAGTGCCTAACCCGTGCTGCTTTAGATGGAGAATGGAATTGTCAAGAAATGGGACGACATGCAACACCTATGGAACTACACCTTTTACGAGAAGATGAAGATCGACCCCACGGATCGCAAGATTCTCCTCACCGAGCCCCCGATGAACCCGCTCAAGAACCGCGAGCAGATGGCTGAGGTGATGCTAGAAGGATACGGATTTGGCGGTGTCTATGTGGCGATCCAGGCGGTGCTGGCACTGTATGCCCAGGGTATGTGATATAACACAAGATTGTGAGTTCGGGATCAATACTGATATCATGTTATAGGTCTGAGCAGCGGCGTTGTTGTGGATTCCGGCGACGGTGTGACACACATTATCCCCGTGTACGAGTCGACCGTACTCAACCACCACATTCGCCGCCTGGATGTCGCCGGCCGCGACGTCACTCGCAACCTGATTGCCCTTCTTCTGCGCCGCGGCTATGCGTTGAACCGAACCGCCGATTTCGAGACCGTGCGCCAGATCAAGGAGAAGCTCGCTTACGTCTCCTATGACCTCGAGTTGGACAAGAAGCTTTCTGAAGACACCACTGTTCTCGTTGAATCGTACACCTTGCCCGACGGCCGTGTCATCCGCGTCGGCAGCGAGCGCTTCGAGGCGCCCGAGTGCCTTTTCCAGCCACACTTGGTTGACGTTGACCAGCCTGGTATGGCTGAAATGCTCTTCAACTGTATCCAGGGTGCCGATGTCGATGTTCGCTCTAGTCTATACAAGGCCATCGTGCTCAGTGGTGGTAGCAGCATGTACCCCGGTTTGCCCTCTCGTCTGGAGAAGGAATTGAAGCAGCTTTGGCTCACCCGCGTACTGGGCGGCGACCCAGAGCGCCTGAACGTACGTCGAAGAAACTCTGACAAAAACATAAATACAGCCTGGCTAATACCTTTGCAGAAATTCAAGGTCCGCATTGAAGATCCTCCTCGCCGCAGACACATGGTGTTCCTGGGTGGTGCCGTGCTCGCCAACTTGGTTAGTCTCCTTTTTTTGTTTTCTTTTGACTCCGACCCTTGCTAACACATTTTTCTCAGATCGCCGACAAGGAGGACATGTGGGTGAGCAAGCAGGAGTGGCAGGAACAGGGTGCACGCGCCTTGGACAAGCTCGGTCCGCGATGAACGGATTGTATTTAGCCGTTTCTTAGTCTGCTCCTCTTTTTTTCTCTGATTTCCTGCTTCGCATTGTTTGCAAGCCATGTTGCCCGGGTTCTTTTTTCCCCTCTATCCTCTTTTTCCTGCCTCCACCTTCCCCCCATCATTGTCGATATACTCCGTCCATCTTGTAGTTTCCCCTGTCTCTGCGCCTGCTTCTTACATTGTGCCTAGACTGGTCTGGCGCGATTGGATTCGGGGCGTTGGTTGACAGAAAAGAACGAAATATTTCCATCGGCTTTTTGTTGTGTGCTAGCTTTGTAGGTAGACATTATCTATGTATGAACTACCTAGGTATAGTGGAACTCATGATCATGATTGCGTACAGTCTATCGTCAACATCAATATACGACACAAAGGCATACCCATATGTACTCGCTCCCCCTTCTCTTCGGCGCAGAAACGTATGTGTAAACTCAAGAAACCCGAAAATGCAAAATGCTGCACGCAAAACGCAACAAAACAAACGAGGACTATCACAACAGAAGGAGTAACATAAAGGGAGGGGGGAACAGAGACCAAAATTAAAGACCCGTCAGCAATCACTCCCCAAATTAAGTCTCAACAGCCCCCGGCGAAACCGCCAAGATAACTGCGAGAGTAGCAATAATCAGCGAAGCAGCCACAAACGCCGTGAGTGCCACACTGCCCCGACTAGCCGGGAACTTCCCACGAATAATCCAATACTGGCTCTGGAAGTAACGGTGGAAGCCAACAACAAGGATAAGGATTGAGACGCCGATGAAAGTCGAGCCGAGAGGTTTGCCCACGCTACGAAGACGGGCAGATGCGGAGGAGACGTGGAACGCGGCTGAATCGTAGTCTGACGAAGCGAGATGCGGTGGCAGGATGCCTGAGTATGAGTTGGAGGCTGGGTCGAAGTAATTGGCCTTTGTATTTGAGGAGGCGCTGTTCAGACGGAAGAGCTGTGTTACTGCGATGCCGATTGAGGCGAAGGCGAGGGAGGTGCGCATCCAGGCTAGGAACGTTCGTTCTGTTGAGAAGGACGTGCGTATTAGGGGGGTCTGTGTGACATTTTTTATGGCAGGCTATGCATATCGTACCTAATGCGAGGTGGTCGCGGGCTACACTGCCTTTGTTCTCTAGCTCGAGGCTGCCATATCGATCTGCGAGTTGACTATACCAAGACTGCTGGGGCTCGGAGGTCGAGTCTTGGTTCGTTGGTTGGGTGGCATTGTCACGGTTCGCATTATCTAATTGGGAAGCTTTCAGCTGCGAGGCGGCTGCTTGCTCTGTGGACTGATAGTTGCGCCCCGCGGGACCAGTTGTGTTGATTGGGGTGGATTCGGTGGATTGGGATGAAGTCTGAACTGGGTTCTGGTTACGTATATGCTTTCGGGACGAGGAGCTCGAGTGGGACCGGGTGCTGCCGAAGGAGGATGACAGGGCTGAATCTGTAGGCGAGCGTGACGATGAGTGGTTGTTTTTCACTCCTCCAGAGGTACTAGGACCTGTCGGAGGCGGCGCCAGTGAGTCGAATGTGTTCATTATAGCGTGCTCGTCTGCTGATCTCTCACAGGAGAGTATTGTCCAATACGAGGTTGCCAGGGACCAAGTTTATGCAGGACTGAAGGCCTATATCTTCGGATGTCAACAGAAGATAAAAAGGAGCTGTTCGAGAAAAATCTTCACGGAAATGGAAAACAATAGCTGTGTCTGGTATGTTGGAGCCTTGTCATCTGCATTTAATTCCACTCCTCCTCTTTTCAGGGTGCTGTGACCATCATGTGGCACATAATGTGACCTCGAGCAAAAGCAAAAGCGTGAAACGATGTGCTGATCTCCCGGTCACCTGACCAATCCGGGGAGGCGATCACATGCTCCACTCTAACCCACTTGGGCCAAGTGAAAGGGTCCAAAGTGTCAATGCAACTTGTAAAGCTTGATAAGTATGTTGATATACACATCGAATGTAGATCATTATTTCTAGTCATGTACCTTCTCAAATCTTCATATATGATTAGACAGACTACCACGTTATTTCCCTCCCTCTATCAAATTGCGTCATCCTCTATTTAAGGCAGGCGGTAAGCCCGTTGTTATGCTCTTTTATCGACTTATCGACATATCCGACGTTATCAATTTCCTTTTCCCCTCACTCCACCAACAGAATGGCATCACAGGCATCTTTACCATCTCCCACGGGGAAGGTCGATCTCTCTAAAAAGCTCTCTGACTTGCGATCAAATACTCGTAGGGCAACCCCGAATTCCCGAGACCTAACTCCAGCGACCCCTCCTCTTCCTTCGCCGCCAGACCTCTCCGCCCACCAGTACCGGCAACCAACCCGCCGCATCCTATCCGCTAAAGACCATGAACTCTTCCTCTCATCTCCAACCTACAAACTTGTCCTCGCCTTCGTCTTTGGGTTAACTGATTCTGTGCGGGGGCATTCTATCGCCGACCTTCAAAAAAAACCTCAATCCGAATCCATCTCCAAGGTCCTCTCAGTCGTCACTCAGATTCGCTCTCTCCTAGCCAAGAACCCGCCAATCGACCAAGGTGGATCTCGATTCGGCAACCCTGCATTCCGAGCGTTATGCGACGATGTAAGCGCGCAAAGCGCATCATGGCACACCAACATTCTCGGGCTGAAAGACGCTGGCGCAACAGAAGAAGCCTCGACATATTTAATCAACTGCCTGGGCTCACGAGAGCGGATTGACTACGGCTCCGGCCATGAACTCAACTTCATGATGTGGCTGCTATGTCTGTACCAGCTCGGTCTCCTCTCCGCCAGCGACTTCCCCGCCGTCGTGATCAAGGTCTATGTCGAGTACATGCATCTCATGCGCGAGATCCAGTCAGCGTACTACCTTGAGCCTGCTGGATCTCACGGTGTGTGGGGTCTGGATGACTACCATTTCTTGCCGTTCTTGTTCGGAGCTAGTCAACTTCTCGGGCACCCATATATCACCCCCTTGGGTATCCACAACACGGCTATCTTGGACGAGGAAGGTGATAACTATCTCTATCTGGATCAAGTCCGGTGGGTCGAAAGTGTCAAGACTGTCAAGGGATTGCGTTGGCATAGCCCTATGCTGGACGATATCTCTGGATCCAAAAATTGGACCAAGGTTGAGAGTGGCATGAAGAAGATGTTTGTTAAAGAAGTGCTAGGGAAACTCCCTATCATGCAACACTTCTTGTTCGGTAGTCTTCTGCCTGCTGCTGAGGGCATGACCGATCCTTCTGAGGCAGATTCTGCGCATGACGGCCATGATCATGCCCATGGCCACGATCATCCTCATGAGAGCGCAGATTGGTTCGGTGATTGCTGCGGCATCAAGGTACCCAGTACTGTGGCTGCGGGGGCTGAGATGCGTAAGCGTATGGGCGGATCTAATCTGCGCCCAATTCCTTTCGATTAAAGCCGCAGATGGGAATCTCGGGCATGTCAATAAAATAATGAATCAACATGACTAGCGTATTAGAAAATGTCAAAACTGATAATCCATGTATACTTCTAGTTAACTAATTGGTTTTCTACTCCTACTCGTAATTCGTGAATGCCGCGTGATCAAGCCCCGTCGATTTCAATCTGTAATATCACTATGTACATAGACGACACAACGACACTTGTTTCCGCCGTGTTCCACCCCCAGGAATCATCTACCGCCATGTTGCACTTGTAGTTCCTGTGGTACCAGAGCAGCCTGTTGGTACAGTATAGCTCCGGTTAGGATCACTTTCCCAGGTAATGGTACCGTCTGACCCTTTCTTGAAGAACTTGTACTCAAAAGTGGTACCAGCTGGGAGATCAATACTGGCAGTCCACAATGGGTTGGACGTTGTGTATGATCCTGCAGACAGAGCGATTGCTGAGGAGGTAGACCAGGAGCCCAACTGGCTGATTGATCCGGTGACGAAGACATTCTGTCCATATGATGTGGTCACCAACTCATTGAAAGTTACCGGGACAGTGGTGGCAGTAGTAGCACAAGCTGTAGTAGTTGTTGTTGAAGTTGTGATGGTGCTCGTCTTAGTCGTCGTGGAAGGTGCAGAGCTAGTGGTCGAAGTCGATCCTCCCCCGTGCCCTCAACGGCAATATCAGCGCAGTGGAGATAAACTTGGCCCGTTTGGAAAGAGTTCCACCGGAAGCGCAGCAGTGTGTGGGCCGAGTCATAGTCTGGGATTTTGATTTTCTTCGTAACGGTGTAGCCACCGGCGATAGTTGTCTTGCAGGAGTTTAATGGAGCGCCATCCACGCCCTGACAGCCACGGTTGCTATCAGCACTGAATGCATTGCAGGTGAACCAGTCATTGCGCCAGCACGCTTGATCGGAAGTGCAGTCAGGACTGTAGCCACAGGTCTGACCTGCAACATCTGTACATTTCAATTCACCCTCCAAGAAACAGTCTTCGGCAGCTTGTTTCTCATCATTTGTTGGAAGGTAGTTTGGGTCGAGAAACAAGTCGACTAGAGTCTGATTCTGGCAGAGACCGTAGGTGAACATGCCACCATGGTCGCCATTGTTGTCGACGCACCATTGCACTTCGACGATCTCATTTGCAGTGTATGTGGCCACCACAGAGTTGCCCCAGTAAGCGCCGGGCTGGTTATAATCAACGCTAACTCGAGCATTGTAACCACATGGTCCACTTCGGCCAACTTGGGGTCCTTCCAGGTCCGGCCAAGGAGCGACTGGTTCAAGAATGGAACACTCAGGGCAGGTGTCAATGCCAGCCTAATAAGGTCAGCCTGATGTATTGCATCCATGAATTCATCGTCTGAAATCATACCTCAAATCCAAGCCGAGTACGACTTGATGGAATAGTCAGGTATCCATGAGCATTGACTAATGACAACAGACCTGCCAGAGTTAGAAAAGATGATGCCTTCATCGTGGATGTACTATCTCAAAATTCTAGAGACTGAATATAAGCTGCCCGACTGTTCAAATCGAGTAGAACATCGCCCTTTTATATATATATTTCCCATAATCTTTCTTCAATATCAGCCATGACAGATTCCTACCATTCCGAAATTGCCGTCGGCTTGAAAGTCTGAAAATGTAGAGCATTGTCTTGGGAGGTATATATCTTCATAGGCGTATTTCCTTTTGTGGCGTGAAGTCCGATAAATTTCCGACAGCCGCTAGGGCAAAGGGATGCAAGCGTCAAATTCTCAGTCGAATTCCTTCAAGCCTCGACGAGAAAAACCGATGAATCCCCGCTTCCCTCCTATATACTAATTGGTTAATCAGCATGGTTAGCCGACGGCAGCGTTCGGAATTTCTGTTTCTTCAGGACATTCGCAGTTATTCAAATTACAATCAAGAAGTATACTTAGACAAAGTGAATGACCTAGAGCTAACCAACAATTCTCCAAGTCTGTCCGCTTACTGGCCTTTCTCCCAAGGCCCTAACATTTCCAAGGCATGGTGGCATGCCCCGCGTCTTACTCCCCCCACAATATATTATGATTCTTCACCATTGCGCCCTCCTCCTAAAGGACGCCCAATTGCGCCACCGGCGTTTTCCTATACCGCCCGCACCGTAAACGAGGTCATGCACACCGAAGGTCACTTAAATTACCCTGTAATCCGTGTATTCAATCTTGGCTTTCAACAGATATCTTTAAGTAATCAACGAGGGATCAGTGTGCCTGAGCCCAGACCGAAGATTAATCAGTAAGCCGACTCTGAGCGTCCTCTAAAAAACGAGATATATGAATTAAATAGGAAATACACTAACTGCATAGAGGTGCCTGCATACGTGGGTACTTTATCTCCTTTGCCACTGCATAGTCTTCCGTTTCCATTTTAGGGCTTAGGCCTTGCCGCTATTTGCTCTCCGAGTTAGCCCTACAAGAGGCAAACTGTTGAAGAGACCTAAAATAACGCAGCACCTATGATTTCCACGTGAAACGCGGCCCAATCAGATGACCCTTTAATTCTATAATTGTGCATTATTTAAAATATAGAACAAATACAGGGGACTCGAACCCTTTACACCATTAGATTCTTAATAGGTGATATACTCCTGGCAATACTTATCTATGGTCATATATTCTCTCACTAGCTTCTCATAAAATAGAATTTTCTAAATATGGTAGCAAGTGATCATCTTGTTCCCTTACAGTCGATAGCGAAAACAGCTTCCTCCCTAATGGCAACTCTTCTTTACTCGGGCCCCACCTCCAAGACACTATCGCGCATTCTTTATCCTACAGTCATTTAGAAATTCATGGTAAGATATAAATAACAATACCAGCGAAGTATAATACAGTAGGCCTACGATATAACACAGTAACTTTCCTAGTACATACCTACCCTGTATAAGTTGATTATCTTGTTAGTTCTTAAATGATTTTGCCTCCAAGATCGAGAAATTATGTACCCAACAAAATTTAAGACTTTACTAGGATGACCTAAGTGTTGGGCTTATTTCAAGGTGCAACGCTTGAACAATTTATCCTTCGCAAAAACCGACGAAAGGCCGAAGGATTGGGCCCTAGTACTTTCCCCTTCCCTGCTGTTCGTTGGTACATCCTCTCTGCCTCCTTCAACTTCCCCTGATCAGAGTAGAGTACACCAAGGTTATGTACTGTGTTGAGAGTGGATGGATGGTCTGGGCCAAGTGCCTCTTCATAGCCTGCCAGTGCTCGCTGGTACATCTCCTCTGCCTCCTTCAGCTTCCCCTGATCAGAGTAGAGCACACCAAGGTTATGTACTGTGTTGAGAGTAGATGGATGGTCTGGGCCAAGTGCCTCTTCATAGCCTGCCAGTGCTCGCTGGTACATCTCCTCTGCCTCCTTCAGCTTCCCCTGATCAGAGTAGAGCACACCAAGGTTATATACTGTGTTGAGAGTAGATGGATGGTCTGGGCCAAGTGCCTCTTCATAGCCTGCCAGTGCTCGCTGGTACATCTCCTCTGCCTCCTTCAGCTTCCCCTGATCAGAGTAGAGCACACCAAGGTTATGTACTGTGCCGAGAGTAGATGGATGGTCTGGGCCAAGTGCCTTTTCACGGCCTGTCAGTGCTCGCTGGCACATCTCCTCTGCCACCTTCGGCTTCCCCTGTTTATAGTAGAGCAGACCAAGGTTATGTACTGTGCTGAGAGTAGATGGATGGTCTGGGCCAAGTGCCTCTTCATAGCCTGCCAGTGCTCGCTGGTACATCTCCTCTGCCTCCTTCGGCTTCCCCTGTTTATAGTAGAGCACACCAAGGTTATGTACTGTGCTGAGAGTAGATGGATGGTCTGGGCCAAGTGCCTCTTCATAGCCTGCCAATGCTCGCTGGTACATCTCCTCTGCCTCCTTCAACTTCCCCTGATCAGAGTAGAGCAGACCAAGGTTCTGTACTGTGTTGAGAGTAGATGGATGGTCTGGGCCAAGTGCGTCTTCATAGCCTACCAGTGCTCGCTGGCACATCTCCTCTGCCTCCTTCAGCTTCCCCTGATTAGAGTAGAGCAGACCAAGGTTATGTACTGTGCTGAGAGTAGATTGATGGTCTGGGCCAAGTGCCACTTCATAGCCTACCAGTGCTCGCTGGTACATCTCTTCTGCCTCCTTCAGCTTCCCCTGATCAGAGTAGAGCACACCAAGGCTATGTACTGTGTTGAGAGTAGATGTATGATCTGGGCCAAGTGCCTCCTCACGGCCTGCCAGCGCTCGCTGGTACATCTTCTCTGCCTCCTTCAGCTTCCCCAAATTACGGTAGAGCAGACCAAGGCCATGGAATCCACCCCATAGCCAAATGCTCTTATTTATATATTGCCTATGAGCAACATAATTGCATTGCGGCAGAAGCCGTCGTTGAAGCTGATCGTAGTCTCTCTCTTCTGCCGTCGGGACAGTGTATCCGACAGATATTAGTGCGATTTCACTCAGCTGAAGTGAAATCATGTCCTCGTCTGTGCCCGAGACGTGAACGCACCAGTCCTGTACCACTGGATGCATTGTGTAGCTTCCTTGTCGCTTGCTTTCAAGAAGGGAGAACTCAAGAAGTATTTTCACACTACCTCTGAAGCTGGATGGATTTGATGCAATCTCTTCAAGCCACAGTGGGGCATCTGATTTATGACACCCATTTCGGATCAATTCATACCAGATGTCTTGATTGTCAAATTGGGCAAGTAGCATGAGCAATTTCGCTGAATTTGGCCACCGCTTTTTCATCTCATGGTATGTGATCATCCATGTCTGTAGTATATTTCCCTGCCGGTAGTGACGCGTGGGTTCAGATTCAGACTGTAAATTTGACCAGTCCTCCTTGTAGAATTGTAAATATTCCTTGATACTGGTCCCAGTTTGACGCATGAAGGCCCCAGCAAGCACGATTGCCAGCGAGAGCCCATCCAGATGGTTCGTAAGCGCAGTTACATCTATTACTGTTAGCCTTAGTACCAAAGTTAATCTAAAGGATTTTACCTTGTTCAGTGTCCACCGGCGCGTTATCTTGGGCTAAAATGCCGCTGCTTTGCCGCAAAAGATGCATAGCATCACTTTGTGTAAGTTTTTGAACGGGAAATGACTTTCCTACTTCAATGAATCTCTGAAGCCGGGAAGTGATTATTATTGACCCATGATCGACTTTGGGAAAGAATTCACAGATGTCATATCCTTGATCATTGTCGTTTGGAAGTGAAGAATATTGGTCAATATTGTCAAAGACGATCAACCATCTTGTGTTGCCTGGCATTGCTAGCCACCGGAGTACTTGTTGTGCTCTTTGTTCCGCCTCCACTTCGCTGATTGCCTCATCGTCCACATGCTGATTCTGTATCCGAGGCAAGCAAGAACTCAAACCTGACACCAATTCAGATCGATACCTGCCGCTGAGCCAAAAGATTGCTGTAAAATCATCTTGATGCATTCGTGCAAAGCGGATTGCTAGCTGAGTTTTCCCTATTCCGCCAAGACCATGGAGAACGGCAACCTTTCGTGTCCGTGATCTTGCTGGTTGTAAATTATCCCACAAACACTTTAGATCATCTTCCCTTCCAACAAAATCCTCAATTGCTGGAACTGCCGCGAGGTCTAGTGGGATATGAAATTGATTGGATTCTAGAAACTCAGAATATTAGTATGAAAGAACTTGGATTCAGATGTGTGTACTAACTGTCCTCGACAACCATGGGCTCCCAATATTCCAAGAAAGCTTTTGCAGTTGCAGCTCCAGTTGCAGCGGCATAGGCCTGCCATTCTTTATTCTTATGGCTGTCTGCATAGTCACATACCCCTTTGATGATGATACATGAAATGTTGTCCCAAATTCCTGCACCCTCCATCTCAAATCCAATAACGTGTTCTGACTTGATCAAGCGATCACGGTGCTCACCGGATTTCATCACGGTATCGGCGGATGCGACTGTGCCAATATGAATGACTGGGTTGTAGTTTTCTGTGCCATGTCGGCGTCGACGTATATGGTCCTTGTCACAGCCTAAATGGGTACAGCTTGTGTCTAGAGCTTCTTTGCAGATGTCATCAGGCGTGGCAGCAAAACAGCAACATTTAGGAGATGCAGTGATATCGTGGTGCTTGTGTTGATACGATGCTTCAAATAAGACATCATCGGCAGAACTTGGGTGATGCCAATCGGGTTGTGATTTCTGGATCGCTTGCATATGCCGAAGCATCTTAGCTTGAAGATCTATGAGGGATCTTTTCGCCTTGAGGCCTGCTAGTTTTGATCGAATCTCTCGGTTTGGCCTTCCGAGGGTGTCCTTCACACCTGTCTTGCGTTCAAACCCTCCCGCGTACTGCCTGCCGAAGTCATATTCAATCACTGCATCGCTTATGATGACATCCCCTAGGAATATCTCTCTACCGGACAACGGAAATGGGGCACCTCCACAAATACCAACAACCAGTGCTACTTGGATCCTTTTGTAGCTGATTTTCATACTTGATGCCACACTGGCAGCATTTCCTTTCCCCATGCCTGGCATGTAGCATAGGACCACGTTATGATCCCCGACCCTCCCGTTGATGTATGCATTGTCGTCTCCTGGTTGCTTTTTGTAGAGTGCCCCAAATCTGTCATAGGTTTCATCGAAAAGTTCTTCGACAGCCTCCGCCTCGAGGGTCAGTGCGCAGATAATCGCGATGGCAAATTCGTCTCGGCTGAATGGGCGCATTTCGAGCAAATATATAGTAACAGATAGAATGATTGCAGGCTAGAAACGTATCAGACTTAGGTGTTTCCCAAAGAAACAGACAGCTATTATGTCAGATCAGGCTAACAAGGCTTTCGGGCCAGCTTGAAGGTTTGGCGGAACGGCGCGTTCCACGGATTAATAAAAATGGGACTTTGAGAACAGGTCATATTAATCACTAATCTCAGCTAATGGTCGTTGGTTATATATATTACAGAAGATATTGGATAAGCAAGGTGCGGTCCAAGAATAGGACCATGGTGCCTCTCGGCTTCGCATCGACAAGACGGCTCCCACCAATGGAGTCTTTTCTCTTGCCAATCGCTGCTTATCTTATTCATCGTGCGGCTGAATCTTTCGGCTTGGCAACTACTTTTCTTTTGCCTCGTAAGTGTTTAGACCTTTCTTTAAAACCGCTCCTTTTCCTTTTACCTTCTAGACGTATTTGATGTGTGTACTAAAAACAATTCACTCGTTCTTTGGATATAACATTTAAATCTGAAAAGGGCTGGAATACCTTTTTTCTGCCTCGTTCAGCCCAGCTGCATAAGGCTTTGCAGTTTACCCCTCTTTCAGGCGGGTATTGGGCCTAGCAGTCTTTAAAGTCAGGCTGAGTGTCCTAGACCCTCCTTTACGGGAAGGAACCAATAGTCAATCAATTTCGCCTGAACCCTGGCCGCATTGGATTATGTGCAGTGACATGGAATGAACATAATCCGTTGCAATATTCTATGGTATTGCATGGAGATGATGAAATTTGGCACCGTAATTAATCTGTCAAAATTGTAGTTACCTTTGAAGTGGGGGATTTTATGGACGTCCGTCAAATAAATTTCTACGCTAGTGCCGTGGCAGTGAGGCCCGAGAAAAGAAGACGGTCTCTAGGGAGGAAGCTGTTTTCACTACCGACTGTATTGAAGTACGACGAGGGCGACTTCTTTTTTTTTTTCATAGATTCTTTTCTGTCTATACCGAGTCGACCGGAAATTGTTCGTATCTTTTCTTTGAATAACTCGAATACTTCGGAAGTTAAAAAGGGACTACAGATTCGAACCCTGTCTGGATATGACCTGGTCTTTGAGGTTTAATTTTCCTTGCTTCATGAAATGGCTGTCATGAGTGTTTATTTGGTTAGAAAAAACAAGAAGAAAGCAAAAAAAATCGAAGGAATACCATATTAGAGTCAATAGTTGTAAGGTACGAGAGATGGTAAATTATTAAAAACTCCAAAACACCCCCCAAACATGTCCCATCCAGGTCCACAAATTAGAGAGAGCATGGTGATAAGCTCAACAGACAAGACCACGCTATCCTGCTAAGCCCCCTTTCGCAGTCTTGTATGAAGAAAGAAATCTCCCCACCGGAGACTTATCCCGCTAGTTCTGGACCGGGGGAAATACTTCGAGCCAATAAGCGACGTGAGACATCTGCGATGATCTTCGCAGGGAAATCCCGAGATGAGAGAACATGCAGTGCCCTAACACAGGTACATTTCATCGTACCTTCACACGCACACACGGACATGTTTCCTAGACATAATCCAGCTATATCCACAATCTACTTTAAACTTACATTCATGTGTAGTTTACATTGTGTAGATTCTGACTGGTTCGCAAGACTCAGGTAAAAAATACCTCGGGAGATCAAGGAGATCATATGATTTCCAACCCCCCTCCTAAGCTCGCCCCGCATCTTCAGGGCACTAAAGCCCTAAATTTCGGGCTCGGACGCCACAATTCTACCGCTAAGCTTGTCTTCTCCCAGTCCAATGGCCATTCAATTCAGTTGCGAGAAAGGGAAAAACCCCGGTGGCACAACCTTAATGCTACTATGATGCGGGGTGAATTCAACCCAATCCTCAAAGCTCTCTCTCTCTCCAGGGCCATCTTCGTGGCATATGTAAGGATTTTTGCCAGGAGGGGAAGAAACCCTTCTGTCTCACTCTGCCACAGGTCAGAACCTCCGTGATTCAGCTTAATCCTTACTAGCTCTATGAATGGCGTCGTTCCGATATGTTATTGGTATTAACCGGGATTGTGAAGAGTGACTTTTGCCTATATTATCAAGTAAATAATGCGTCTTTATTAGAATGATTGGAGGAGAATTAGCACCACTTTTGTGACCCCTGCTACTCATCTAAGACAGGGATTCTTGACGGATGAACTGAATAACATAAATACCAAGGCTGGACACTGCACGGAAGAAGGCCCTACGCTTTTCTCTTCAACGCCCATTGAAGGATTTTGTTCCTAAGTTAAACGGCGACAAGGACAGCCTGATCTACTCCTCCAAAGGTGATCAAACATGTTCTCACGACGAAGCTTCGAACGCTTCTGCGCACTGGTTCTCAGCCTTGCTGCCACTGGCACACTTGTTGAAGCTGGACCCTGTGATATCTATGCCTCCGGCAACACGCCCTGTATCGCTGCGCATAGCACCACACGTGCCCTGTATAGCGCGTACACCGGCGCACTCTACCAGGTCAAACGTGGCTCCGATGATACCACCACCGATATCTCTCCGCTCTCTGCTGGTGGTGTTGCAAATGCCGCTGCCCAGGACAAATTCTGTGCAAACACAACTTGCTTAATTACGGTTATTTATGACCAGTCTGGCCGCGGTAATCATCTCAAACAGGCTCCGCCTGGCGGCTTCAAAGGCCCTGAAGCTAATGGCTACGATAACCTGGCCAGCGCGATTGGCGCTCCAGTTACACTGAACGGCCAGAAGGCGTACGGCGTCTTCATGTCTCCCGGCTCCGGCTACAGTAACAACGCCGCCAGCGGCACAGCTACAGGGGACGAAGCAGAGGGCATGTATGCAGTGCTCGATGGAACCCACTACAACGGTGCCTGCTGCTTTGACTACGGAAATGCCGAGGTCAGCAGTACCGATACGGGCAACGGACACATGGAGGCCATCTACTATGGTGACAACACTGGCTGGGGCTCTGGTGCTGGGAGTGGTCCTTGGCTGATGGCTGACCTCGAGAATGGCCTGTTCTCTGGCTCCAGCCCAGCCAACAACGCTGGCGATCCGTCGTTGTCCTACCGCTTTGTCAATGCGGTTCTCAAGGGAGGGCCAAACAAGTGGGCTCTCCGTGCTGGCAATGCTGCGTCCGGTTCTCTATCAACATACTACAGTGGCGCGCGTCCAAGCGCGTCTGGATACAACCCGATGAGCAAAGAGGGTGCCATTATCCTTGGAATCGGCGGCGATAACAGCAACGGCGCCCAGGGCACATTCTACGAGGGCGTAATGACCTCCGGCTACCCGACCGATGCTACCGAGAACTCGGTGCAGGCTAATATCGTAGCGGCCAAATATGCTACCACGTCGCTGACTAGCGGGACGGCGCTCACCGTTGGTTCCTCAATCTCGCTGCGGGCCACCACGTCCGGCTACACGACGCGCTACGTCGCACACACCGGCGCAACTATCAATACTCAAGTTGTCTCTTCATCTAGCACCACAGCCCTCAAGCAGCAAGCTAGCTGGACGGTTCGAGCCGGTCTTGCTAATAGCGCTTGTTTCTCGTTCGAGTCCGTCGATACCCCGGGAAGCTTCATCCGGCACGCGGACTTCGCGCTAGTGCTTGCTGCCAACGACGGCACCAAATTACTCCACGAAGATGCTACATTCTGCCCCCAGACTGGCATAAGTGGCCAGGGCAGCTCCATTCGCTCCTGGAGCTATCCCACCCGCTTCTTCCGCCACTACGAGAACACGCTCTACATTGCGAGCAACGGTGGTGTCCATGATTTCGACTCCGCTACTTCGTTCAATGATGACGTGAGCTGGGTGGTAAGTACTGGGTTTGCTTGAGATGCATTGCATGTCTCAAATGCAAGGAGTAGAGATGTGCTGGCAGTGATATTTATATCTAGTATTGTGATCTAGATACACTCCCACTTTATAAGTACAATGTTAAATCTATAGTATGCAGCCTTTTTACCTATACAACTCTATCGACTTGTTTGCTATATGTATACTCTATAAGTGAATTTAATTGGTCATTCGTAAACTGGTATGCTTGTTTGTTACAGACTAAGCCTTCTTCCGACAGTTTTTGCCAGATTTACCAGGGTATACAATTCCCTTCTCGAATAGTCGCCCGTCCTCCAACAGTAATGCATAATTTCACCTGAACAGATTGTGACCTATTTGATAAACGCACAGACCTAACGGGCACAATATATGTACTCCTTATATGCATATATTATAGGAATATCGGTGAGCAGTATAGAACTATGTCCGGGGTTAGGTATCACAGCATCCTCAGGGGCAATGATAGTGAAGCGGTGCCACGTACCATACATGCACATATGGAATGGTCAGTGGCCTACATAAAATTTTCAATTCATGTTTTATTAAAGTTGGTTTTAAATCTTTATAGATACTAACGGTCAGTGGAGGGTTTCTACTTCTAAGATAATATCATTGGAGGAACGAATTTTGTATTTTGCGGGTATGCAGATTAGGCCGCCGAGGTCCACGGGTAATACTTTTATAAGAAATCTGTACTTTACCATCGTGAATCCCCAAAGACACTCCAACAAAGACCTAAAAAAAGCCCCAACGCCCTTTATCAAGAGGCAAAGTAGCGATATTAGCTCGAAAAGAAGCTACCCTACAGAAATCACCCTTCCCCACCAAGGCGGTTTCGAAAACAAAACAAGGAGCAACAAGGAATCGCACCCTAGTCTCCCTCCTCCCTCAATACCTTAAACAGAGTCATCTATCATGAAATCACAAGATATCGATACTTGTACTGCTGCATTACAAACCGAAATCAACCATTTCATGTCAATCACATGGTGTCGCCCTCACCTCTGCGAACCAAACTTCCAGCCTATTGACAAGCCCCGAGAAGCCACACCAGACAACGGACACACGCTGTTGGGCAAGACTTGGTTCACCGAGGATACAATTCCGCATTTGCTCACTTTGTATCGACAACCTTCTGTCCCCGAGAGCTTGAGGGGCGAGCTTCGCAGATTCCATACGTTAGGAACGGGGCTAAACGAGCATCCCAATATTCTCCACGGTGGAGCCGTTGCCGCCATACTAGATGGTGCATTGGGTGTTCTTATCAGGTATTCGATGCCTGATGTACAACCAGCATATACGGTTGCCCTGAACATTACATATAAGAAAGCCATCAAAACACCGGAGACGATTATGGCACGTTCTTGGATCACAAAGACTGAGGGGAGGAAAATTTGGGGTAGCGCCCAGATCGAAAGCGGCACTGGGGAGATCTATGCGACTGCGGAAGGGGTTTTTGTTAAGGCAATTGCAAAGATCTAGCACTGGAATCTCCAACGGTGACAAATGCCGAAGGGTTGAGTCCACTGGCGACCGACGCTAAGAGGATGCATTTGGGGGAGGAACTTGCATATCATAGACCGCAGCTAACTAATATTCATGGCGGATTTATAACTAACGTCTGTTTTTGTAACTCAGATTTGGTCAGAGAGCTTTTGGTATGCTCCCTCCCTTATTCAATGGAACTATATATTAGGATCTCAGTAGAGACAAACAGATAGTTAGTTATCTACAACTTTGCTTGCATGGCCCATTCGACCTTTTCCTGTGCCTGCTTTTGGAGCAGGCGCGCTCCAGATCTTTCCACTGGAGCACTTGAGAATGCTATGGATAAATATAACCTTTATAAAAAGTGAAAGCTAGAATTAGGAGGTTTAGTGTCTACTTCGGTTACAATCAAGAACAAACTCTTTTCGTTAATTGCCAACCTATCATGTCTATCATTTCTACCGTGGGATGTTTAACAAATCCCTCATGCTGGACGATGCCGAAGGGGCGTGGACAAGCAACTTCCCCGCACGGAGATTCCTGCAGACTTTAATTCAACAAATCAGGGAGATCCACAGCCTCGAATAGCTCATCTCGGCGATTTTGCGGACTTTGATCAAGAGGTATGGTCGGAAAGCTGATCTCGGGTATTCAACCAGAAACCGCGGTTGATGGAATTAACTAGTTAATATAAACCCATCTCTGTCCAGTTTATATTTCTCGAAGAGCGATAGTATATATCAGCAATAGCATCTATCTTCATTACAAACATGACTACTCAATCTCGAATTCCTGCAACCGCAGAATCAGGAACATTCACTCAGCTTGGAAAATTGCCGAATGCTTATACTTCCGACACTAGCTTGCAACGGATGCTAGGATGTAAGTCTAGTACACTTAGCACCTGTTATTCAATTTAACTTGATGAAAATAGGGTATCTTCCTGCAGAAACCCTCAAATTGGTTGAACCCCATCTCGCTCAATTTGGCGAGGAGGCTGTTTCACCCCAAGTCTTTGGATGGAACATCGACGCAGAGACCAACCTGCCATATGTCAAAAAGTACAATGTCTGGGGCCAGAGGTATGGGTATGACAAGCTGGTTACGGCTGAGGGGTGGAAGCAGTTGGGAAAGTGGGGGGCTAAGAATGGGTTAGTCGTTCGTCTATTTCTTGATATGCATTTGGCACTAATACAAATGTTTTAGGGTTGTGTCGCTGGGATACGACCACACATACGGCGTTCATAGACGCACTGTTCAATATGCTGCGTATGTAACTGTTCCCCGTGTTGTTTCATGAGCGCGAATACTAACTGCAGGACCCAAAGAGTGTATCTATACGTCCCCTCGTCGTCCATGTACAGATGTCCTATGAGTATGTCCGATGGAGCGGCATTTGTACTGTCACAGCGCCTCAAGGATCTCCCGAATGACCATGTTCTGCAGACTGTGTTCCGGAGACTGACCTCCAGAGGAGACGACTACTGGACATCCGGTCAATGGATGACCGAAAGAGCAGGTGGGAGTGATGTCCAAAACACGGAAACATGGGCTACCTACGCACCCTTGTCTCAAGGATCAAAAACATCCGACGCCCTAGCTGAGGGAGACTACCTGATCAACGGATTCAAGTTCTTTTCCTCCGCAACAGACGCAAATGTCGCTTTCCTCTTAGCTAAGACAAGTTCTGGCAAACTCAGCACATTCATCGCCCCATTACGAAAGACAATCATCGGAGCGGATGGAAAGCCAGAAGAAGTGTCCAACGGCGTGCGCATCCACCGCCTGAAAAACAAGCTCGGAACCAAAGAATTGCCCACGGCCGAGCTGGAACTGAAGGACATGCGCGCTCATCTAGTCGGTGAGATCGATCAGGGAATCCAGACTATTGCGCCATTGTTAAACACCACCCGAATCCAGACGCTCCTGGGAACATTATCGACCTGGCGTCGTGCCATCAGCATCACGAAGAATTTCGCCAAGTCACGCACTACTGTCGGCGAGCCATTATGGTTGATTCCGATGCATCTGCGCCTCCTCGCCGATGTGGAGGTAAAGCATCGTGGCGCTATAAATCTTGCCTTCTTCACAATTGCAGTGATGGGGTTGATTGAAAATCCATCCAGCCCCGCGAGACTTCCACACATGCCCAAGGATCTTGCCGAAGCAAAGGTGATCTTCCGAGTCCTAACCGCCACATGTAAGGGTGTTGTTAGCAAGATGTCGATGGTGGGTGTTCAAGAATGCCAGGAAGCGATGGGTGGAGTCGGATATATTGATGAACCGGACGAGCCTGAGTTCAACATTTCGCGTCTCCTCCGGGCCGCAGCTGTCTATCCGATCTGGGAAGGTACCACGAATGTTCTGGCGAGTGAACTCGTCCGCTTCTTGATGAAAAGAGATACCCTGTCCGTTTTGTCAGGGTGGCTTAATCGTGTTGTATCTCTGATTCATACACCGTCTCTTGCGGGTGCATTGAAGCAGGCTCTGGCTGCTTTCCTTTCTCGCGTGACATCTACTCGTCCGCAGGCTGCATTGCTGGCTGATGCCCGGAGAATTATGTTTACCTTCGCCTGGATTCTTTCGGGGGCTCTCCTCATTTTAGATGCCGAGCGTGATGGAGATGAGGTCGCGATGGAAATCGCTCGTAGATGGGTTCTGTTGGGTGAGGGTGGTGTGGGCGAGTTTGTCTATCGGGATATTGTCAAGCCATATGAGGTCTGTGATCCAACCTCGGGAAGTGCTGAGCATACCAGATTGGATTGTAAGATCGCTTGGGGGGTTGAATTACCCAAGGTCGTGTTTGGTCATCGGTCTTTGAGCGAGTCCTCGAAACTGTAGATTGAACATATTCCGGGTGCCTGACTGCTGCCTGAGTAGGAGGATGTTTGAGAGCTTATTTACCATCTGAAAGGGATGTATGTCGTTTAGTTATTGTTTAGTAGTATGTAATGGAATTTGTTATGTCATGCCTAAACAGGTCGATGGGCGTATACAGAGAATGATTACCTGACGAATTTCCAATCTATGTATTAAAGAGATCGGCCCAATCGGTTGGAAGTTCATGCAACACATCATCCGCCCTCGGAGGCTTCCTTTTCTCCCACTCATCAAGCGGCGTGATTTGCATAAGAGCACTGTTTGAAAAATCGCCCCCACCGCAATTTGTCATTGACGATCGCGGACTGAGTGGGACTGTTCTAGCACTCCTATTCGGATCACTCCACTCGCCGCGTGGCCAGCCTGCGCCCATATCTGTCTGTGGGGGTGCGAGGCTGCTAGTGGAGCAGGACCTGCTTGGTTTTCGACGCTTGGTGCATGAAGAACGGGCGAAAGATGGTGTGGACTGATGGGAGTGTAAGGGGACAGGAATCTGGAATTCGTCGGGCAGTGGCTCTGCGGCTCGCTCCGTTATAGCGGCGAGATCGGGGGGTCGTAGGCGCTTTTCATTTCCCGACAATGATGCTCCTTGCCACATGGGCTGGTCGTCATTTTCCTGGAGAGGAGGCTCCAGAGAGCGGGACGTTGCATTGAGGGAATATGCGCTGGTAGTTTCGTCCAGTCGCTGCTGGAGCTTTTGCCAGGGCGCCTCATATCGACGGAATGATTGAGATAGCAGGCTGTCGTCACGGGCTTCGGTGCTTTTGAAAATCTCAAAGATTTCACTCAGCAGATATAAAAGAATTTGAGTGTCGGGATTCTGGGGGCGTTCCTTCATGCAGGTTATGGCTATGAGACATTCATGCAGGGGCTGCAGTTTGCCAGGGCATAGCCACCAGTATGGGGAGAATGCCGGTAGTCGGGCTAGATTGACGTAGTTTTTGAGAAACTGGCGACAAGCTATGATTTGGCTAACATGCAGTGTCAGCTGGATAGAACTTTTTTAAACGGTATCGAAAGGCTCTTACTCGTCCCAAACAGTCGATAATCCAGGTGATCCAGCCAGGACATGGCGATTGAAAAAGATTCGCACATACTGCTTCATCATATCCAACTGGATGCGAGCGTATGCATTCAATACAGTTGCCTCGTGAGTGGTATCATCGTAGTAATGTGGATGGCTTTGGTGATTCACACGTAATAGTTGACTAGATAAATATCCCTGTTCTGGCATTCCATGAACAACAATTTGGTTTATGAGGCCGTCAATCGCAAATTCAAACTGACGGATTAGTGTTTCCAGGATTTCGCATTCCTGGTTTCTCAATGGCTGTGTTTTGTAGCCCAACTCCATTATACATCGCAGAGTGCGTGTCATCCGACAGCGACCGACGACCATCAGCACGGCTGTTGATGTCCGTTGCGCTGAGGGTGCATCAATTCGGGTGCGTCGTTCAGAGTCCAAAAGCGAATCATGCAGTGGTTGGGGTAATTGTGTATTGTAGGAACTTTCCTGGGTACCATATGACAACACACTTCCAGATGCGACGCAAGCATATAGCTCGAGGAAGACGACATGGTACCAAACACGACGGGCAAGCTCCGCTTCAACTTCCCCACGAGCCATAACGGATTCTTCGTGGTGCAGGCCCAGAGTGCGCGCTACTTGCATCGCCTGAGACACGAAGGCGGGGGCTGCCAGGATATCATTTGCAATGGGATCACACTCCCAGGCCAATAAGACCGCAATAAATCCATTTAGTGTGGGCAGCTCTGCATAATGGCTTAGGGCCAAAGTCCGTTCCAACATCAATCTCAGTTGTTTAATGAACACGCAAGAGTCCCGCATTTGAATGCCACTCTCTGCTAAAAGGGATGGCGAAGCAGCAACCATTCCGCAGTACAAAACCGACCATAGCAAACTCACAAAGGAGCCATTCTTACTTTCCTGATTGACACGGGTCTGCGAGGCGGCCTGTTCCCAAAATGCCTCATAGTCATGAAGCAGTGTAGGGGCATGAACCAACGGCAGTAACGGCTTCACGCTGAGTAGGAACGATTCTAGAAGCACGTCGCATACTTTCTTTGGGGGCAGGCTTTGCAGCATCCGAGTCCATTCCCCCAAGTTCCGGTCGTAGTTTTGCTGAGTCGGGCACCGGAGCTGTTCCGCCTGCGGGGATAAATCGCGAGCAACCGTTTGATTCGCTGCGAGGGCCCAGAACGAGTGACCCATATATCGGCGGAGGTCTCCCTGTGGTGAGCTTGAACGTCCCATCAATTGGGAACTCTCTTGCAAGTTGGATGAAGTATCGGTATTAGACTTATTGGTGATGTCGGGAGATTCGCGAGAGAGGATACACGTGCTGATTTGGGGAGTTGACCAGAGAGAACTTTGGTCAATTGCAGAAGATGGATGGGACAAAGCCGGTAGACAAGACGGAGGTGGCCCGTCGGAAAGAGTGCCGAACTCGTAGAAGTTGGCAGGAGGGTCAATCAGCGACAGGATCGAGTCGTCCAGTAAGTCGAAAGTGTCTGATGCCCATGCCATCTCATCTTGTCGGGGTTTACTTTTAGGATGCGTATCATTGTTGATTTCATTGCCGGCGGGGGTATTTTCCACACTTCTGCCATTGTTATGTAAGGACGTGGGCAAGGGAAAAGCAGATGCATGATGCTGATCCGTGGTCTGAATGTTTCTTCGGGGCAAATGTTCTGCGGATTTAGGCTGATCGGAGGTGATGGCGGGCGGATAAACGCATACATCATTCAGTCGGCGACAATCGCGGCAAGCGGGGCGTTGTTTTCCACATTTAATCTCCAACCCCATCAGATTTAGACGATTGATGATTCATGAAGATCATACCTTTCGTCGCTTACAGGGCAGACAAGTAAACGAAGGGCGAGTACGAGAAATTGTTCGTGCCTCCGTCGACATCATGATCAGTCTTCCCACTTCTATCGGAGAGGGAAGATCCGTGGGCCAGGAGATAGTGAAAGTAGCTGGCAGGAGAGACTAGGTTTATTCCAGGAGCACTCCAGTCATCAATCCAGTATAATCAATTCAGTTAATTCTCAGCCATTATATGGTACGAACCTCCAGGCGATGTCGCCCCCAAACCACTTATTTATCAGTTGATATTTTTAGTGTTTGCTTACCAAGCCTTGTAGTTGAAAGGGGAATTGGTGCCTGAATGCCTTGATTTAGACCAGTCTTAATAACCAAAGTACCTGCACATGTGGTATATGAAACTTTTCAACTCAGACAAATCTAGGTGATTTGTTAGCTCTCACCTCAATGTACAAATCTGAAGCTGTTGATCCCAGAGTTCTCCAGTTGGCTAAAATGGAGTGCACCTGGGCAGGTCCCACTCATGTGGGGATCTCCCATATTATACGGTGGAGCTGATTTTCATATGTGCACATGTATAACATCGAAATGCTTCATTATAGATGTGTGTTAATGCTGCGGCCCCACACAAAGCCATTGTAACTGGTAGAGAACGGAACATAATAAACAAATAGAGAACGTTGGGAATCAAGCATGTCCAAGGCGTCAGAACTACCCTAACTCGAAATCAAGCGAAGCTCTGCAACTCAACGTCATACTGGCTAGCCTCTGTGATAGTGTCCTTCCACAATCTCTCGATGAAAGTCTGTCCGGCTTTCTCCTGCAAGATGGGCGCGCCACTAGGATAATCATTAGACTCCTCGAGTATTCAGTGCAGGGGGAAGCACTTACGGATCCACCTTATTACTCTGCAAAAACTTCCCATGGGTCTCCTCCCCAGCAACAACAGCCGCATAGATAAGCGTCCTTGCCCCCTCATCGACAGTTCTCGCCATCAACTTCCTCAACACATACATTAACGGCTTCAACCAAAATGGCAGTCCTCGATCGAATCCGGTAGCCACCAACCCGGGACAGGGATCGTTGATGATAACCTCTGAAGGTGGCACGATGGTCGACAGTCGCTGCACAAACGCATTTACGACGAATTTACTGTCCGCGTACCGCTGCAACCCACTGTACGTCTGTTTGTTATCGTAGTGTTCGATCACGGTCTCGGAATCCTTTGGAGCATTTTTCGCCAGCGTGTTGAAGTTTTGGTTACTCGATCCGACGAACGTAAGACGCGATGGTTCGCCACATTTGACTGCGGTGGTGCGAAGAAGGGGGAGGAGTTCCAATGTAACCAGGAAATGAGTATAACAGTTGACCTGCATGACACGTTCATGGCCACTTTTGCTATCTTCGTAACTCATCACATTAACGCCACCATTGCAAATGAGAAGGTGTAGTTCAGGAACCTCGGCGCGGACTCTTTTTGCAAACTCCACGCCGGATTGAGAATCGTCGAGATCGAGATGGAAGAATTCGATCGTGGCGGTGGGGTTGAACTTTTTCACTTCCGGGATGGCACGCAGTGAGGCGACGGCCTCCTGACCCTTACTGGTTGATCGGACAGTGATGATGATACGTGATGCTTTGAGGATGAGGAGCTGACGGGCGACTTCGTAACCGATTCCTGTGTTGCCGCCGGTGATAATGGCGGTTTTACCGGCCACACTGGCGGAGGTAGGGGTAGGGGGAATTGATGGTTGGCCCATGATAAAATGTTTAGATGCTTTGAGATAATTTTTACATGATACTATATACCTAGAATCCAGGATACGAAAAGAAGACCGCAGAATTATCCAAGACTAACTGGATAGTTAAGGCCGGCCGAGAAAGGATGCCCAAGGGGAACTAAAGTTGTCACTAAGAACTTCCAAGGTTCTCGGCCGGTCTGCGGGTCCTTCCAAGACGGCCGATAGGAATCATACTCCCAGAATCACACTCTCGACCGGAGATGCATCGTTATTTACTGGGTACAGTCAACTTATAATTTGTTCCAATTCATGAGATGCAAAGTTGAACAAGAATGCACAATCCATCTAAAGCCATAAAGCATCCACAATCGGCCAGGGATCGCAAGAGAGTCATCGGAGCCAAAAGTCTCTATAAACGATCACTACAAGTGCATATCATAGTGCTTCATCCGCTTCCACACATCAATCAAATGCTTCCTCTCGGCAATCATATGTTCTTATCGAGGATATTTCACCATCTCAACGGGCAGATCGTTATGGACACACGCCCGGTAAAAGGCAATGGCCGGTGACAAGGGCACGCGCACGTCGTTCTCAGGATTGAAAAATCAAGACGGGTGTCTTCACATTACGCATATACCACAATGCGCTTCCCCGTCGACTGTCTGTATTTCGTATCCATTTCTTTGAAGTTTTGGCATCCGAAGCATCCACCTCTTCATCAGGTACTACATCCACATCCACATCCACATTCCAGTTTTGTCCGCTCATATTTACCATATTCTCAAATAAATCTCAGAAAGTCCTCGGCCATGTATGCGGTCTCTGTCCTTAACGATGCAGGATAGATAACCTGATTTGTCTGGGCCAAGATGATATACAGGTTGTTATTTTTAATATCACACTCTGGTGTTCATTTTGAATGGCTTTTAAAGGTGCATTTTTAGATTGTGGTATCATAGCCATAAAAACAACAATTAACCGTGTAGATAAATACATCCAGCAGTGGAATAGCTGCCTTGTTCGTCGCAGTACTGGCTATTGAGCTAGCCGCTGGTTTTCGCATGAACTCATAGGTCTTGCGCAGCCCATACCGAACTCGCCATGTCGATCAGGTCCTGCTTTTCAAGTCGAATGTCGGTCTCTCTTGGAATATCTGGGGACCGTTGGAAAATGTATCCAAAGGGTATCGTAATTGGGTGGTGGGAGACAGTGGTCTTATCACCAGACCTTTCGATCACGCAGGATTGTGTGACATGGGGACATTGGATACCCGAGTCCCATTCCCAGGTATCAAATTTTAGCTGGGGCTTCCTCCGGTTGACTTTCAGTATGATGGCCATATCTACCTCCCCTCTGGCGGGATCCACCCACATTCTTGCGTCGTTGCGCAATTTCGTTTCAGACTCGGACACCCCAACCTCCACGACTACCCCGGGTCGTATTGGGACACCACGGGCGTGCCGAATGGGGCCCCAGCCTCCATCTGGCTGCTTGATGTTTCCATTGCCGACAGGAACGTTCACTCCTCCATATACTTGAATCTTTTGCTTCAGCCCCATGGGTAGCAATGCAATTAAGACTGCGGTATGCAATTCACCGGCAACTTGAGAATGCGTGGGAGTTGACATTCTGAGAACCAGGGTATGTAGGGCGGCGCTGTAGAATAGACGAAGACCAGCGATTGGGTCTGGGAGCAAAAACTCTTGGTCGAAAGAGGAGGGATCAATGAAAATCACGAAGTATTCGGATATTTCGAGATTGAGCTTGGATGGTTCAGACTGGAGATGGGGTGGTGGGCCTAGGCGGCCATATTCGATTTTCAGAATTTGATGGAGTTGCTCCTTCCCCTCGTAGGTGTATCTGTTGGTGGAAGGAGGCAGCCCGTCCAGAAAGACTTCCACGTCACTTCCACGAGATTCAGTCATTGTGAAATATATTATATTCTTCCCTATGGGTATATTTTTTATGGAGCAGAAGTAGATGGTTAAAATAGTGCAAAGGTGATTAAGATATAAAAATGGGTTATCCAGTGCCCAGGTGATCAGGTTGAGTTACCTCATAATGAGCGTATATGAAAAGCATTTTTAGGCTCCCTGTGCTAGCCAGAACTAGAAGGTTTGGAATGAGGTTTAGAAAGAGCCTCGGAAAGAGATCAATACCTGAGAATGAACGATATTCATATATAGTTCAGTGGATATATACAGACCCCACATACAGCCTCGGAGTACTTATGAGGTACCGGGAAACATGTCGACGTTCGGAGCACCAAATTACTGCGTCGCTCTCTCGCTCAGACTCTCGCTATATTATGAGTAACGTTCTAGTATCGGATAAGCACATTGATAGGCAACGGTGCAAAACCGAACCCCACTCAAGTAAACCCCACTCAAGTAGAGTAGAAGGTGACAGCGATAGGACGTTGGTCACGCCGTATCTACCCCCCTCGACCCACTCTCCCCGCGACCAGCTTCCCTCAATGGGGCGATTTATATCTGGGTGTTGATAATGGAGAATCACTCCATGGGAAGACTTGCCCCTCGGGTGATGCCTGAGAGAGGGGAAATCATCCCTGATAAGGACTTCGTGGGTTGACCCCCAAGACCGTATTGAGCGGGATTTTAGACCCTGGTCTGACAGGCCAAAATAATTACAGTGATTTCTTCTCTAAGCTGGTTCATGAAATATAGGAAGGGGATTTCGGTAAATGATTTTCCATTAGAAATAACAGGGTAGAGAGTACAGCTCTTTGATGTTTTATTTTCTCGATCATTTATGTAAAGTGTCTAAACATAAGGATTCCCGGGCTCAAACTCGGCTTTCCACAAGCCCTTCTCTTCCTTCACCTTAAGCTGCAATCCTTTCATAATCCCATACACAATCTTCAACGTTGGTGCAGGCACATTTAACTTCTCCGCCTCACGCACCGGCTCGCCAACGAGATTCTCAATCTCCATAAGGTTTCCCTTTTCGAAGTCCTGGCACATGCTCGGCTTGAAAGCAGTGTCATTTGGATCCTGATGCAGGATTGCATGGAGAAGTTCAGGCTCAGGCTGAAGTGTCACCCCGCTTGCCTTGGCAATAGCCTGAATTTCCCTCATCATAGGTAAAATTAAATCATCAATGACATGCTTGCTCATACGCATACGCGGTGTGTCCATGCGTAGGATTGAAGCAATAGGATTCATTGAGCCATTGTAGGCGATCTTGCGCCACCGAACCCTGGCAACGTCAGGCTCATAGATGACATCAAGTTTCCCCTCCGGATTGTAAATGTTCACGTAACGCTTTGCAGCCTCTTCTGCTACACTAGCAGCGATTTGAGGGCTAGTATACGCGCCGATCTTCTGGCAATCTGGGTCATCGTTGAAAATTTTCGCGAGTGCCGTTTCGGTTGCGCCCGTATACGCCACGCTACTGATGATAGGGTTGGTAGGGAAACGAGCGATGAGAGGCTTCTCGATGTTGATGCCATTTTGAGACAGGACGATGGCTGTTTTGTCCGTCACAGCTGGAGAAATTATGTCTGCCACTGTGGGTGCAACATCGGGGATATTCTTGGTTGTGACGAGAATAAAGTCGAAGGGCGCTGCTTCGCCCTTCAAGACGTCGGGGACAGCTTTGGTGACTATATGATATTAGAATTAGCTCGATTGATATTTCGCTAACCTCGTTGGAAAAACTCACTGACTGATGGTTTCCAGGCTTTAATCTGGCCCCATTGGACCGAATCAATATCAATCCCATTCTTCACCGCAGCATCATAGTTCGAGCGCATCACAGCGGTAACTTGAGCTAAGCCGCCGTGTTCCAATGCATACGCCGCCATGGTGCCGATTCCACCTGTGCCGACGACCAAAACTCTAGTTTTAGCCATGATTGTTTGCGATTGACCGAGGCACGAAAAAGATCTTGTCTGATGAAAGGTTTATGTCCAGATTTTCCCAAGTGGAGATCAGTAGTCATTTATATACTTTTAAAACAACCCCTACTATGTACCTCATCAGAAATTGTTTTGGCAGGAGAAAGCGAGCCAATCGGAAAGTCATGATCTGGGGTTGGCCCCGGGACTGTGGGCTCCACTACAGATCTACAAAGATCAATAGATATAGCTGTACCGCTCGGCGTGTTATTTAGAAAGCGGGCGCGTTGGAGTTGACTTGGCTCCTTTCTTTATCGTGTCGAGAAATTCCTAGCAAAGTTCATATCACGATATGGCATTCGGCAGCATGGCGATTGGTGAGTACACACTCTGTAGATATAGTTCACTCACATCATGATAATCAATCGATATGGACCAATTAATTGATAGATTAGGTATCGATTCCTCCAACCTCCAAGGTTGACTTCCCAGGGTATCGCTCTGAATTTCCATTCCCCGGAGCTTTCACATTATCAGATGACAGAAAATGAGGTGGGCATCAGGACTAGTCTACCAGGTGAACTAATAAGGCTATAATATTCCCACATGGGAAAGTTTTAAGCTACTCGAAGACTCAGCCGAACGTGGCTTTGAATATGAGTCTTATCTGAAGTATAAAGACTACCTCGCCGCCATTTTGTCCATGATTTCTATCGATGTAAGGCCTGCTTGTCTGACCTTCCGTATTGTGTGAGAAACTATACCTAATCCATTCGAAAAGGTGATATCGGGCAAGGCAAGTAGGCACCTGCGGTGCTCATTTAGTGGGCGCTTTCCATTTCATGAAGAGCGCAAGAAATTGGAAGGCAAACTACTCCCCCAAGGTTAGGTTCCTTCACCGAATATATTTATATCTAGGGACTATATATGGGAGCACGGCCATGAGGAATCGGATTGAAGTACACTGTCAATCACTTTTGATCAAAATGATGATCCCGAGCTATCAGAGTCAGCGGAAGCTAGACAAGTCGATCAGCTGTCTCATCCACTCTCTTACCATTCTCATGAATCCTGCACTCGGATGGATTATGAGTGCGTTTAAGACGTCCAACATCATTTACTTTTCTTAGTTGAGAAAGCAATTCAAAACGTCAAAGCAGACTCGGATTGCGTACTCAAATGCTCTGATGTCGGGGAACTATATTAACGGAGGAAGACTGCTAATTATATTCTTCCATTATTTTGTAGACTTTTCTAACTACTTATATATTAAATGATCAATTATTTATTTCTAAACACTAGCTTTGTTACTTCCTCAAGTAAAAATGGTGATATGTAAGAGGGACTATACAGTACGATGTAGATATCCGACGTAAAGAACCATTCAATCCGCCACCGCCTCTGATTGGCCCGAACCCAACCCCAAACCGCGACGAGAGAACCTCCCTCAATTTTCAATCAACACCACAACCCACCCAAAGCCAAATATTACTATCCACTCAGTCGTGCGTCGCACTTCGGCTCCGAAAAAGGGAACGAAACCCCCACGTCCACGCGAACACATAAGACCGACCGACCACCGCCCCTCTTACTCCGCACGCCGCGCACACCGCACACGCCTACCATCTCCGCTAGGCCCAATACCTCTACGAGCAAGACGCCACGCCCCCAAAAGAGGAGACTCTGAATAGTCCCATCCTACCGCATCCCCGACACCAGCGCTGCAAGCATGGTGGGCGATGAGTACTCCGTAGGTGGCGGGAAGCTCAAGTTGAAGGGGAGTAAAGTCAGCGGAGGACGGGTAGAGAAGAAAAAGAAGAAGAGTACGAAGAAGAAGGAGGGGGATGCTACACAGCCAACGGCGGAGTCAACGCCTGGTACAGAACAACCGGAAAATGGAAAGGATGGCGTGAGATCTGAGGAAGACAGAGAGAAGGAGTGGGATGCACCTGGGAAAACTGAGGCCGAAAAGAAAGCCGAGGAAATTCGGCGGAAACGGGTATGTTTGTCTCTTTGATTTTCTTTCTTTTGGTCTTTTTGTCGGGCTCGAGCTCTTTCTACTTCGGCTTTGTTGTACGGTGAAACTGACTTTTCGGGACAGTTGCATGAGCGGCTCCAGCGCGAAGGTGTTAAAACTCATAAGGAGCGTGTGGAGGAGTTGAATAAGTATCTCAGTCGTCTGAGTGAACATCATGATATGTATGTTTTACTCCTTATTACTCTTCATACCTTTGTTCGATTTCTTTGGGCATTGAACCTTGGAACCTTGGACTATAAGCTGACTTATCACATAGGCCGAAGATTGGACCGGGTTAAATGGGTTGGTTCTACAGTGTTTCAAATGGGTTTCAGAGCGATCACACAATTTTAGTCCAAGAATACCACACCTGTACTTGTACTCAATACGTTTCCGTCTAACTGTAGTAATGGCTGTCAAGAATCCGCCTTGTTTCAGATATGGCAGATGAGCTACCCCAAGGTACTCCACCATAAGTATATTTGTCATGTGATAATAAAAGGGGTTCAAGATTTCAAGAGATATGTATAGTTCATGGCTAAAATGATCCAGAAGAGCTCTATTTAGCAGTTCCCGAAAAGAGAAGAGGCATGCCCAAAATGCGAGACAGCAACAGTGGCAGCAGCAGATAAGTAGATAAGTAGATAAGTGGTAAATATCGAAAGATCAGAAGAAAGATGTCAACACCAAAGACAACGCCATGCAAATGAAGACCAAAGCCTCAAAACCAAACAAGCCGTAGCCAACAAAAAAACGAGTCCGATCTAGATATAGATCACGAACAACCAGACAAAGGAAAGACGAACCCAAATCCCCGGGGAAATCAGAGAGAAGAGTAAGAAAGAGTAAAAAACGAAACACCGCGCTAAATCCAAGATCACCGCAGAGGCACGCAAGAAAGGGAAGAATCGGGTCGAACCGAATCGAAGCCAAGCCTGGCAGGGATAACACCTGATCGGCCGAGGCAGGCAGATAAGATAGGGGGGGTGAGGAGATGAGGCGGCCCTAGCTAGGCTAGGTCATGCTCAGGGGATGGCGCCATCCCCTCCCCCCTTTGTTCAACCGAGAGAAAAGCTCAAGAAACATCGGCTATTTCTCATTCTGCTTGTAGTGCCCCTTTGCTCATACGCCCTTGACGACAACGGTACGTTCGCTGTTCAGCTTATCGGCATTGCGGGCGTGTGATTCTTTCTTGCAGTCTTCCAGTCCGGTGCAGGAGTGGGCTTCCAACATGCGGTGCTTGGAGCAGAAGTGGCCGGCGCAGAAGCTGCAGTCACCGACGATACGTTGGGCGGCTTCCTTGCACTCCTTGAAGTTGCAACGGGGCTTGCGGGGGGCCATTGTGGTTGAGGTGGTTGGGAGGGTGTTGGGGTGGAGTCGGTTTAGAGAGAGGGGTTGATATAGAGGTACTTCTGCGCAAGAGAGGGGGAGAGATAGGGAGTAGAAGTAGATTTGAAGGCGAGACGCTGAGGAGAGGGTTTGAGATAAGCGCCGTCAAGTGCGGAGGCGGGGACAAGAGAGAATCAAGTAGATGAAAGTTGTAAAAGGGGGAGGAAGGGAAGATGGGCCAGCACGACCAGCCTATATATAGGGAGATCGGAAGACACGGGAGAAAGCCAAAGAAACAGACTTCAAACCAGAGACGGGGCTGACTCAGTGAGGCGACAGTGACGGAATCGAGAAGTGGAGTTGCCCAAAGTTATGCTGTTGGGGCTAGGCGATTTGGGATGGGCTTAGTGGATTTTTAGTCCATTTTTAGTGGATTTTAAATAATTTAATAGAATTATTAGAATTAATTGGTCTTGATATTGGACATTATTATAGATTATTATAGATTATTTACAATATTTCACCCAGTTAGGTGATTTTGAACAAACTATACCCTTGGAAGGCGAATAGGACCACCTATCCTTTAACTGGACCGATATACTCTATATTACTTAAAGACTTTTTTTTAAAGATTTTTTAAAGATTTTTCTTTTTTTTCCATGTCTTTCTTCTTTCATTTTTTTTTTGTCTTTTGACTTTACCGGATTCTTCTGCATACCCACGCGGACGTATCACCCCAGCCTGGTCTCGGGCCCAATGATCGGAATGTTGAATTGCCCGTGCATTCAAGGGCGTACCTTCACGTGATGATTCAGGAGTCAGGTGTACAAAAGTCGCTCAACTCACTAACTCATCAACTAATTCATCAACTAACTAAGTATGGAGTAACTAACCCCTAACTCCTAACTCCTAACTAGAGTTGAATTAGACTTGCAAGAGTTACCCAAATATCGGTCTGCCGTTTTTACCGCGCCACCAAAGTGGCAAGATGTTCACCCGGACTTCTCCCACTGCGGTACTCCAGGGACTTATCTTTTACTATATCATACAGAAACGGAGTCCATAGTGCCCAATGATACCACTCAATCCAATGCAAGAGAAAGAAAAAAACAAGACATGCAAGCAGACTAAAGGAGCTATGACCTCTGCAGCAAGTTAACCGTAGCGAGTGAACTGTCTGTACAGAGTACAAATCGACGAGTCGCCTGAGCCAAGCCCGCCTAGGTACGACGGATGATCCGCGTGGAGCTATTGCATCGGTAACAGCATATGCAGGACTGCATATATAGTACTCCGTACGCAGTACGGGAGGACGTGTGATGCCATCTGTATACATTTCCTGGGTTAGGCCTAAAGTGAGGGCCGATCCCGCTACCCAATTTCACCGTTTCACCGTCTCTCTCCACAAATCCTCCCCACCATCACCTTATGTAGTATGATACTACACCCCGTATCTGCCCACGGATCCCTCGTAGACACACGCTAAACAGTACAAATCAGAATCCTACCACGTTGACACGCTCTACACGGGCTACGTGTTCATGGTCAATTTTAAATAGCGACTAGCGTGGATTGGGTTCATGATATGTCCACTGGTAAGGTTTGAGAACGGGGAGAGACAAAAAAAAAGGACAGGAAAATGTAAATGTGAATAAAAACCCGTGGACGCCGGCGCAGACACCGATGATGCGCTCAAACCCCCTTGCCCTGCCCAAATAGCGAAAGAAAAAAAATAAAAAAAATTTAAGAAAAGGGCGAGGAATGAAATCTCCGCATCTCATATCATACTCCAAGCTCATTTGCCTTGCCTGCATCTGGATCCAGATAATCCTCTCGCTCGGCTGCCTCGTACTCACCGATTAGATCCATCACAACCGCACGTGCCTCGTCAAATTCGCCAAGTCCGTCAGCAAATGGCGCTTCCTTCTTATATGAATCCAAGAAGGCATTGCGTTTGCGGAGCATGTCGTAGTGCTTCACAATGCGTTTGAATAGTGTCGCGACAGAGGTGTGGTTGGCCAACATCAGCCCACTGACGCGGTGCCCGGTTTCCTCGATATACGGGGATTTCTTCGTTAGAGCAACCTGGATACTGGCCGGGCCCCAGGGTATGAAAGAAGCGAGGCGACGCTCCCGGATACGTAGCAGTGACTTGTGCACGTCGGTCGGATCGGCTTCACCCTGGATGATGTTGAGGATGCTGATGTAGCAGCTGGACTTGCTGGGGTTGACGGAGACCATCCGGTTCTTGGGCTGTAGTAGGCGACGCATAACATCTAGCACAGTTGTCTTTCGCACTGTCCTGGCTTGCTCGATGTTGGCGCCCGTGAAAGGTGTGTATGATGTGAGAAGGAAGTGGCTGCGTGGGGTAGGGATGAGCGAGGCGATGATCCCGGCGAGATCGTTGTGCATGTATCCAGGGTATCGTAGTGTGGTTGTAGATGCAGACATCACCGTTGAAACGAGCTGGTTGGTTTGGTGGAACGAGGGCTCTTGGACGTGGAGCCGATCAGCGACAATTCGTGACAGAGCACCATTGTCCAGGACGACCACAGAGTCGGCATCTTGGGTCAATCGTCGCATGGCAAGCAAACTGTTGTAAGGGTTGACGACGACATCGGACTGCGTGTCCGGGAAGACGGAGTAGGTCTGGATGAGTTTCTTCGGGAATCGATCGTTCATGCGCTCTAGGATGAAACTTCCCAGTCCGGAGCCTGTTCCTCCTGCGATCGAATGTAGAAGCATAAATCCCTCTAGTGAGTCACTTCCATCTGCTTCGCGGTCGATCATGTCGAAAATTTCCTCTTGTACGCCCTCACCTGCAGCATATCCAGTACCCCAGTTGTTTCCAGCTCCGATACCTTGTTGTCCGACGAAGAAGTTCTCGGGGTTGTAAATATTCTTGTAAGGGCCGGTCTGTATGGCGTTGAGGACCTGAAAGCGACCTGTATGTTAATCATCGTGTGTGGAAGTGATGGATCGGTGAAGGATAGCATACCCTGGGTTCTAAGTCGAGGAGAATCGCTCGAGGGATGTACCTTGTGTCGTCACTCTGCCCACGTCTATTAGCTAGGGTTCTTGTGATATCGCCGAACTGATAATGTGCTCTTCCAAGCTTCCTATACACACCTGGTAGAAGAAGACATCCTTGCGATCACCGGCCGCCCCGTCAGTCGCATGCTCTTCCAGGTTTCCATCTGCGCTGATTCCGTGCTCCTGGCAAAGCTGCTGCCAGAACTGACTGCCGACTAGATAGAGCGAATTTCAGCGATGTGAACTATATTTTCTCGTGCTCCGTTCGAAACAATAAGATCAAGTGTCTTGTGGAATGGATCGCGGAGTTGAGCCACATACCGTTGTTGCCGCACTGGCCGGCTTGAATTGTGATGATTTCTCTGTAATTGCCACCAATATTAGCATCGGTATTCAAGCTGGAGAGAGAGTCCTCAATTATGATTGAGTCGACAGAATGAACAAACCTTGGCATCTTTTCTTCGCAGAAGCCGTCGAGTGTTGCTGCTCGTTAACGCGTATCGCGTTCACGCGGGGAACTTTTTGGCCGATATCTTTGCCTCAGGCAGCAGCTCTTGCTACCCTATGTGTTAGACAGCAACAACGTTTTGATGGCCGGTAAAATAAATTTGTCCAAGAATGAAAGTTGATTAATCTGATGTTTATATGCTTTTTGAATCCGCCCTGCTATGCTAAAAATTTGGATAGATCGTCTTCCCCAAGCGATCTATCTGATTGCCCAACCGTCACCCTGGCCCACTATATCACTCAAAATCCTGCCTTCAAAGCTGTAATGAGGTTTCCAGCACCGGCAACTACGCCGTCGACAATTCGTACCCGTTGGCCTTCCGGGTGTCCATATTCCTGAGTACATCCCTCCCGTACCGCTTCCTCCATGCCAGCCATACCTGCACAGCCCAGACAGACAACCTTAACACGAGATTCCGAGTTCCGAAGCAGGTTGCGGGTAGCATCGATGATCCTCCGTCGAACTTCCTCTGGCTCCGTGGTGTGAAGTTCGACTGCCGTTAGACCTGTGGTCTCGACGCCCGCAAAGTGCATGGAGCTTCCGTCCTCATAGTCGTAGCCCAGCGCTCCCTGAACGGCATTGGTGAGCTCCTCCTTCCACGCGGAGCCAGTGGTAACAATGCCAAAGCTGCCCTTCTCTTGGTACTTTTGTAGTTTCTCTGCTGGATTGATTGGATCTTGCAATGCGAAACCACTAACCAAGGAGAGCGCAGCTGTGATGGATGCTTCAAAGATTCCAGTGACATATTTGTTTCTCGTCGAGCTCGCTCCTTCGCTTGCCGCGATATCCCCCCTAAGCCTGCCGACAAATGGATGCGCAGAGTAACACGCTACAAGAAACGCGTCGTAATGGCTGATAAACTCTCGTACGGGCCAGCAATTCAATGCCGACTTGCACGATTCTTCTGCGTTATTGATGCTGGCGATTGGCTCAATTTCGACTCCGTCGATTTCCACGCTGGAGTCTGGGGCAGTGAAGTATTCGAAGTGCACATCTTGGTAGTTCATGCTGGCCAATATGGGTTTCAGGGCTTCGGTCATATGCGTTGAGGTATTGGGGTTGATAATCAAGATGCTGTAATTCCGTTCGCCTTTCCTCGGATCCAGCTGAATGATTTCGTTTGTGCCATATCGCGGCTGAAGAGCGAGACTCATCTTTGCAACAATAAGGTGAATTGAATAGACAACAGGAAGCACAGCTCTTTGCTCTTCCGGAAGACATTAAATTGATTAATACCCGCGGAGACTGCGATGAGCTCCGTTATCCGTTATCGGGATCCTCCGCAACCCCGCCATGTCCCAGGAGCTCAGCGGACTATTTCTTTAAAAGGCCTATCTCTGGGTTATGATGTATGTACATTGGGTGGCTTCGGATATATTCGCCTGGGGAGATAAGCTTCTTCGTATATTAACTTACCCTTGCAAAAATTCTTGGAATTTATTCGTTCGAAGGTTATCAATTGATTATGGCTTACAAATTCAGAGTACCTTGGGCCGACTACAGGGCATGGTATAAAAGAACCACGCCGCCCAGTAGCCCCGCCATTCCTCGCACGCCATCCCACTTTCAACACACCTCACATATACGGAACAAAATCCAATTCCCATCATGCCTCTGATCGCACAAAACCCCCAACCGAGGGTCATTCTTGGGTTGATGACGTTTGGCCCAACAGAGGCCAAGGGTGCTCGGATCACTTCGTTGGACGAGTACAATAAATGCCTTGATTACTTCCAGCAGCAAGGGTTCAATGAAGTCGATACCGCCCGTGTCTATATCGGTGGAGAACAAGAGGCATTCACAGCCAAGGCCAACTGGAAGGAGCGTGGACTGACTCTGGCCACGAAATGGTACCCCAGTCAACTCGGCTTTCACAAGCCGGAGATCGTCCGTGAGAAATTGGAGCTTTCTCTGAAGGAATTGCAGACCGACACAGTCGATATCTTCTATCTGCATGCAGCAGATCGCGCCACTCCATTTGCTGAAACTCTCGAGGCTGTTAACCAGCTGCACAAGGAGGGCAAGTTTGTACAGCTTGGTCTCAGCAACTTTACAGCCTTTGAAGTGGCGGAAATTTCCATCCTTTGTGCTGAGAGGGGTTGGGTCCGTCCCACTATTTACCAGGCCATGTATAACGCTATTAGTAGGTGGTGCCCTTTCTCTTGCCTTCGACATATAAGATCTTGACCATTCAGCTGACACGATTGATAGCGCGCAACATCGAGACTGAACTCGTCCCTGCCTGTCACCGGTATGGTCTCGACATCGTCGTCTACAACCCGCTGGCCGGTGGTCTTTTCTCGGGAAAATACAAGTCACAAGATATCCCCGCCGAAGGCAGATACAGCGACTCGAGTTCTACCGGAGTAAATTATCGCAAACGTTACTTCAGAGATGCCACCTTCGAAGCTCTGAGTATCATTGAGCCTGTCGTAGAGAAACACGGTCTCACGCTTCTAGAGACGGCTCTGCGCTGGGTCCGCCATCACTCTGCTTTGAGAATGGATAATGGCGGTCGTGATGGAGTCTTGGTGGGAGTCAGCAGTTTCACTCAGCTTGAGACTAACCTTGCCGATCTTCAGAAGGGTCCGCTCCCGGAAGAGGTCGTGCAGGCTTTGGATCAGGCTTGGCTGGTTGCCAAGGCCAATTCTCCCAATTACTGGCATCTGGATCTGAAGTATACTTATGACACTCAGAAGGCGATATTTGGGCCAAAGGAGTAAGTTAGAGGGGAATATGAAGTATTTTCCATAGGACCATCGTACATGAATGGTACTGAAAATAAATGATAATTCGAGGAACTTTGAAGCTATCCAATATGATCCAACATTTCTATCTTACTTGGGACATGGGAGCTGGAATAAGACTAAACATTCGATGATCGTGGTCAGATGCTCTTGCCCATCGCTAGGGTAATAGACCAGTAGATCTTAATACAATACGGAGTGCATCGCAGGTATATCTTTCGGTCTAGGTAATTTCAGCACTCCAGCGGGGGCATCTCCGTCTCCAAATCCTAAAATAGCCGAATGACATAGTTGCATACGCTAAATCTAATCCGGTATAGCGCGCGCCCGATCGGGATCACGTGCAGTCACAGGGGAGGGTCCACAAGTGGATGATGACACCTGAAGGCGGTCATTTTGTTACGCCTCATTGGATTTCCCGATCATCTTCAACCTGGGTATTTTGCTTTAATTCACATCCGATACAATAATCGTTACCCAGTGGATTGAACTTACTATTCAAACTACAACTACCCCCGATCGGTGCCAAGTCGCATGTATCCCGTGAACGGCTGTGCAGCAGTGATTGAACACGTGGAATTAGACTCCATGGGTAACCTTTCCCGGAACAATAAATTCTAGCCACGTTATCTACATCACCTGGATGGGTGGTCTTTCGATAGTCCACGCGTCAGCTCCTTCTCCTTCTCTTTTCCCGCAATCGCAGTAATCGGACAAGAACACCCCTGACGGCGGTATTCATGTCGAGGTAGTTAAGCCGACTAGCACCTTCCCCTGCCATCGCCGTTGTGGCTTCCGATAACATCGAGCTCTCCGAGCCCCGGGTAACCTCAAGCCCGGACGCAGTCCACGACTTCGACTCTGACGACGAGATGGTTGTCAATCGCCCCCCCATTACACCGACCAACAGACGGCCGCTCGCAACAACCCCTTCTCCAAGATGACCGTCATCGCCGGTCCCACTCCCACTCGAGCATGCGGAATGCCGACGCCGAAGGCCGCCCTATGCTGCATGAAACCAGAAGGCCGACAATCCAGAGTAAAAGTCCGGAACGCGATGCTGCCAAAGCAACCCGCAAGAAATACCTGGTTGCATCGGGATTCCTCTTGCTCAGTTTGATTAGCTTCGTGGTCCAAACAGAGACCGCTTCATACATTCAAAATGAGTTGCACTGGAAGAAGCCCTATTGCATGCTGTAAGTCCGAGCGCAAAGATGCCACCGACAAGCCCATGCGACACCCGCTTCCCGGAATTATAAACGCTTACCATCTCCTCTCCCTACGCAGCTATATGACTCACGGGTCATGGTCCTTGCTCTGGCTGGTCCAGCTTGGTATCCTTCGGCTACAGAAACGGAAACTCACGTGGGACGCTTTCTGGCGGCGCCACGTCTTTTTCCTTCGCACCACTGCGCAGATGGTAGAATCGCAAGAATTACATCTAAGCACTCGCTCGTCCAATCGATCCCCAGTCCCCTATATGCTGAAGACCACCGCCTTTGTAACTACTGCTCTCACAGTCGCTGGAGGATCATGGTACGTGGCAGTCAACATGACCACTCCTAGCGACCTCACAGCAATTTACAACTGCTCGGCATTCTTTGCGTATGCTTTTTCGATTCCGCTATTGAATGAAAAGCTACGGGTCGACAAGGTCTTCTCCGTGGCCGTGGCTACCATTGGCGTTATGGTTGTTGCCTATGGGGATGGGCCTAATAAGAAGGCCCCAAAGGGAGGCACGGATAACACCGGGGGGCAGAACAGATTGCTCGGAAACATTGTTATCGGCGTTGGAAGCATTCTCTATGGGCTTTACGAGGTGCTCTATAAACGCTTTGCCTGTCCCCCCCGAAGGTACCAGCCCTGGCCGCGGTACAATCTTTGCCAACACTTTTGGCAGCCTAATCGGGATTTTCACCCTGTTGGTACTATGGATCCCATTGCCATTTTTGCATTGGACGGGATGGGAGACATTTGAATGGCCGACTGGTGAGGCAGCATGGATGCTGCTCATCTCCGTGGGTGCTAATGCTAGTAAGTACCAAATCAGCGTTTCAACACACACAGATGCTAACACCAAAATAGCCTTCTCGGGCTCTTTCCTTGTGCTCATCTCCCTTACATCGCCCGTTCTGTCATCGGTAGCCGCTCTCCTTACCATTTTCCTTGTCGCTCTGGTGGACTGGTTCCGAACTGGAGATTCACTTTCTATGGCCTCTATCATCGGAGGCCTTTTGATTACGGTGGCATTTTTCATGCTGAGCTACAGCACGTATAGAGAGATGAACGAGGAGCGAAAGAAGCATCTCGAGAACGATGAGCTCGAGTCTGACAGCGATGCATAAATGTATCCTATGCATGGTGTGTTTCTGGGCGTTTTTGCATGTACCAGGTAATTCCTGGCACTGGGAACCTTTCCCAACAAGCACTCACTAAGCACGTTCTGCACGTGACTGGAACGAGCATGATCACCTGGGCACTGATCTGAGTGTGTGCTGGCATCTACTCCGTGAGCCTGAGCCTAAGCCTCATAAAAGCGGTAGATCACATAGGGAAGCACCGCCAGGGAAAATCCGTTACATATAAGTGCATACAGCTTTCGAATTAGTATTAGTATTCAGCGTTTCTGACGTATAAAACTTCTATTTTTAACGTTATACTTCAAGTATATCGAAATATACATGATATGATACAGGTACATTCTAGAGATCTGAGGTACGAATTTGGAGAAACCCTTAGTGCCCCAGATTATGCGAATTCCATGGTTCAGCCTCCGATTTATGAACCAGTCCCAACAAAAAAAACCTGGCGTGACATCATGAAATTATTTCTTTCACTTTTGTCTCGGGTATCTCCGAATGAGCTTTTCTTTACATAGAACCTTGGGGAAGACAGATGGGTTTCCCGTGGATATCGGCATCCCGCATATCCGGACTTTAGAGAGATTAACACGGTGTACGGATCTCGGGAGCACTCTCGTATAGTTATACTACGTTGTATGTAGATTGTACGATGTAATCTCCTTTTGTCTTGGCAATCGCATGGTCCGCGAATCAGATCCACTGCGCAAATTAATCTTCAATGATCATTTTAGTCTATTATACGGTGTACCTATCGGGTAATTTAAGAGTTCTGATCGTACATTACTATGATATGAAGTAGAGAAGAACGGTGAGAAACAAGCGCGAACTACTCTACAGGTCAACTTTTAAAGGCGTGGTACAGATGCATATGCAGACCATTTCCAGATTCAAAGCCAGGATCTGCCGTTGCCGCCCCAATTGATTTCACGACGATCTGCCCCCCCACGACCCAATTGCCCCCAAACCCCCCCGTCAAAGCCTCTATTTTTATTGGGTTAAACAAAGAAAGCGGCCCACCGAACGCAGGGGGGGTGAAATAATGTTTCAGAGCGCCAGGAGCGTCCGTTTGTGTTCGGCCTTTTTCCCCCTGTCAAATAGCGCTAAGATATGTCTCGCGCCACTATTTATATCCGATCTGACTCCGCAGCCAAGACAAGCAATGGGGAGTGGAAGTTCGGTTTCAAGTCTGACAATCTCCCGCCAATCCACATAGGAAATCGGACTTTGTCGATAAGAATTTCATGTGTGCACCATATGTTGTATTCTTTCAAGGCCTAGCCTCGGTAATGAACACACACTCTCTCTCCCCAACATGGACATCATCCCCTTGACTTGCAGGGCCCCCAGCGTGGCGCACTATCCCTCTGGGACCCACCAGGTCAAGCGAGATTTGGATGGTCATTTAGGCCGAGTCATTGGCAGTGATAATACCCGCTTTTTTCTCCGGATGTGGCTCCCTGTTGATTGGTGCCTTGAGGACCCCAGGATTGAAATAGGTGCCTTTTTTACAGGCACCGTACAACGTACATATGGTAATGAACCACTATTTTTGATTGGGAGGACCGCTAACCTTGGAACTGAATACTGGGTTATTCTGGTAGCAATCAAGTCATGACGTCCTCTACTTGGAATCGATTTGATTCAAACATGATGGTTTGGAGCATGGCAAAATATGGGGGAAAAGGTCACATTCCTCAAGCGAGAAACCTTCTTTTCCCTATTCTTTTGGTTTTTTTGACAGATGTCACCTAATCCGGCATCTCCCCCGAGATGTCAGGTGTACCTGGAATACTGTATTATGTATTATATCTAAAGATCTCCAGGGGAGATAACTAAAGTACGAAGTACAAGGGATTCGTTACCCTTTCTTCTTACATACTATGTATGTATGTATTGAAGTACTCCGTAGTTAACAGGAATAGGGTAACTCCTACCAAATATAAGCTTGAAGCCCTCCAGGGTTGTATGTAATCTCGTTCCCAATAATTGACCCCGTTGATTGGTTTGCCCCCGTTCGGATGGCAACGGGTGATACCGTGTATGGTAATCAAGATACAGCCCCATCTAGGTTCCCATCCAGGTTCCCCTCCTGGATTTGTTGTTCTCTGTTCTTCTCTCTTCAACCTCTCTACGACCAACCTTCCCATCTTCCCCTCCTTGGCCTTCGTCGTGGCCGTCCGTTCATTTTCCATACCTTTGGATACCGCTGGTGGTCGCCTCAATTTGATCTCAATCATTCCTTTTCTGCCTGGCGCGGATTCAATGACCCTCGCCCAAGGTGTTTAAACGTGACCTCCAGATTCCTAGGCTTTCTCGCTGAAGGGAAGTCGGTCTGGAGGTCTTCGCCCATCTGGATCTCATCGGGCTTTCGTCGTCACTCCGCTAAATTTCTTTGTTACCACATCCTTTTGTTTTTGTTTTTTCTTGCCTGCAATCATGGCTTCCATTTCACTTCCTCCGCAGTCCCAGGCGGGCTTCCCGCCACATTTTGATACCTCGAATCAGTCCGCCAGCCCCGATCGTCGCCAGCATATGCACACACCGTTGCCTAATCCCCCATTTGTCTTTCCAGCACGGGAACCGGACTCCCCCAACACCCAATCGGAGACCCCTGAGCGCCGGGAACGTGCCGCATTGCCCGCATTCTCCTTTAATCCTGGATCAGAACAGCAGTCATCGCACCTCTCAGCGCCATCCTTTTCGAATCCTCGCGCGGGTGGACACCGTCGGCGACCCAGCGAGTTTGTTGGAACCGACCACTTGGTAACACCGGAAATAGTTGGACCAGGTCACAAACGGGCATCTTCCATGGCAGATCAACATCTTCCACCTCCAGGACCTGGTGTGGGTAGGGGTCCTGGGCGACGGGGCCATGCTCATCGCCGTTCGGCTGCGATCTCTAATGTCGATTTGAACGCTATCACGAAAGCACTTGGTCCCAATTCCGGCATGGCAAGCGCGCCTTCTACACCAGCCGACCCTAATCGCAAATCTGCATATGATACTCCTCCGCGACCGGTCTCTCAGCCAGGTATTATCCTCGGTCGCCCCACACCACCTGCGTCTCCTCAATTTCCTCCCGTCCCTCCTGTGCCTCCAATTCCAGCTATCATTCAAGCGGAAATTGCCTTGAACAACCAGGCCTCGAATGACGAGCGCCCAGTCTCTGCTGCTTCGCATGGTAACTCAGATAGTATGGCCACAATTAAGGTGCAGCAAGAGGTGGAGAAGCCTGCGTTCTCAGATAGGGTCTCAGATAGGGTAACGCCAAGACCTGATTACAACCCAAAACCTCGACCAAAAACAGCCGATGCCTCTTTGGTGATGGATTTTATGCAGATGGACGACGACTCAGGATCCTCTATCAAACGTTCTCACTCGGCCGCTGGACACTCCCGCTCCCGAAAGAGCAAATCAACACCGCATCTCGATTCGACTCTCTCGCCTGATGATATTCAGTCGACAGACAACTACCGACCTTCATTCTCGGACGACGGTTCCGATACATCTGGTGATGAAGCGACAGAGAACCCCTCTGACGACAAGTGCCCTATCAAGTCGAAAAAGAAGAAGCAGAAGCGTGTTCGCTCTTGGGCCGGCCACATTCTAACCCGAACTAAGAGCAAGGGCAAGGGTAAACGCCATGCAAAGACTGACACAAAAGAGGAGCCGCCTGTACCTCGCACTCTCGCACCTCGCCCCCCTGCTCTTACTCGGACCAACTCGGGGACCGGATCGGTTTTAGATGTGGATTTTGATAATGACGATGTCGTTGTCATCCGAACTCCGACCAATCCGACAATGCCTCCTTCTGCTCTTGACCCCATCCAAAATAATCGTCAAGCCGATGATGGTTGTTCTTTGCCTGCGCAATCTCTAGAAACCTCGTGGAAACCGAGGAGTTTCTATGAACAAGGTGTTGGCCCACATGATAATGTATTAAGTAGCCCTATCATCGACCTCGATGCTGCACTTGGTCCTTTCAACACTCCCGACATGCGACCGGTGACCCAGGGTGCGCCCAACAACAACTTTTCGGTTGCAACCCAGCGGATGTACAGCGGCGGAAGACGGGGTGAATTTGTTGGCCCAGAGATGCGATACCATCGGCGCACGGAAAGTGCTCCGGCAATGCAACCATTCGACCGCACTGCTCTCGGCGCATTTCGTTTAGGTCCGACCTCAGCAGTCGAAACGCCAGATGTGTTTGATGAGGAAGAAGAGGATGCCTTCCTGGCTGCCTCTCAGTCACCTAAGGGCGAACGCCTCCCGGCGAGCACAACCTCAATCGACGACGCAGTTTTCTCGTCATCAGAGGACGATGTGAAATCCATTCACAGCACTGCCACCTCTGGCACTAGTGATACTCTGACCCGTGCCCCTACCGGCAGCATATCTTCTCGGAATGCTGGCTTAGGTATTCAGCAAGGCGATAAACATCCGAGCCAGGAACAGCCGGAGGAACGAAGTGCCCTTGAGCAGATGCATAATGCCAGCAATCCTTTCGCCAGCAAGCCTCGAACTCCCGTGGAAATTTTGAAGACCGAAGAACCTGCACATAAGGTGATCGGACCTCCCAGTCCCGATATTTCTCCTCGCTTCTTAGCTATCGACAAGCGGCCAGCGACGTCACCCATTGAGCTGCTACCCAGCATTCCACCATTCGCGTTACAACCAGGCGTTTCGCCGTCCGACTCGTCTTTCCCGTCTCCGGATGCTCCACGGTCAATTGCGGCATCCTCCATGACCGACCAGAACTTCTCCAGTCACTCGTATCATCATCTTCCTTCGGCAGAATATCCTTACGCATCGGTTGAAGATGTTCCATCTTTGACCAGCAGTGCATCGACCATGACCAATACTCTGAATCGTTTTTCGGCTGCTTCTTTCTTCCCCCGTGGACGTCTTTCTACCGACCGCGCTGCGTCCTTCTCAGCTGCTGGTACCAGACGCACCAGCCAGGCTAATGCCTCCAAACGCTCTAGTCTAGCCAGTCTTTCCAAACTGGTCGGCGGTGCCCATTCTGAGCGGAGCAAGCTCAACCAGGAGGAGAAACCCCCTAGCAACGCATCCGACAAAACGAAGAAGAAGGGCCGCCGTCTCAGCCGAATGATGCATTTCTGGAAACCCAAGGACAAAGAAAAGTCACCCAATGAGGCGGCACCAGCAAACGAACGGCCGCGGTCGTAGGCGTGCGGTGCGTATGGTTTTGATATTTTTTTTTCACTTCGATTTACGGCGCAACCTCGGCATAGCGACATCCTGGCAATTATTTTGAGACATCCCATTACTCCCCCTGCTTTTTCTTCCCCACTTTCGACAGCGTGGGCGTCTTCTTTCACCCGATTTGTACATATTGTGTTCCGTTCAGCTTTCCTGTGGATTCTTTTTCTCCCATCTTCATCGGCGGTTCTATTTTTGCGTCTTCCACCAAGACGCTCATTACGAATTTCTTTCTCTCAGGGCGTTCTTGTCTTGAGTATGATCTATCCTTTTTCTTGTCAATCCTTATGTCCCGGTTTGAGTGACGCACGGATTTATTGACTTTCTCTACGATCATTGCTCCTCTACGGGCTTTTTTCTTACCATTTTTGTTCTGATTTTGCTCAAGGCCCTTGGCCTGGAATATCATTCGTCCCCGTTGGAACTTCCATTGGGTCCCCTTTTTTCATATCTGGGACGTGGCTCTTTGTGTACCTATTGTGTGGCTTTGGTGTCTACACTACTCAGGTGGTGTCACATTCGTCAAGAATTTGTCTGTCCGATTACACAAATAGCGGATAATGAAACCACTCCCCAATTGTATCTCACAGTCCTTGTAGGATTAAGTTTATGTAGTTCTAGGCTTAATTTCTTCTAACAAATACCGTAACCTCGGTCCAAGTCTTACATATACTTGCGTCTCTCCAGGCTATTCTTATGATATAGTATCATCAGAGTCCAAAGCTACAAACGAAAAAATCACCACACAGTCGAACGAGAAAACTCCCATCCCGCCATGAGCTCCAATTGCGCAAGGTGAATCTTTTGGTCCTCCGGGTCCTCAAAATACGCCTGGGCAGCCATGCGTCCATGTTCATCCGGGTTCCCAAAATACACAGAATCAACCTTACACCGCGTATACGCATCAGGAAGCGTCCCCCCAAGCAAGAACGCACGCAGATGCTTCGCAGCACAGACCGAAGCCACAGCAACAGAACAATGTCCATATCCCTCAACCTCCACAACCTGCGATCCAGCCCAAGCCTCATTAGCCGTGCGCGCCGATACAAGCGGACAAATAGGGTCATAGGTAGTCGAGAGGATCAGCAGCGGATGCGCAGTCTCTACACCTCGCCGCGGCACATACTGATGCGTCCTCGGCACTTTCCACTGCTGTTTCTCGTAGTACATTGTGAGGAATCCTGTTCTGAAGAGACTCTGGTTGAGCCAGGGTGTGATCTGTGCGAGAAGTGGGTCTTTGCCCTGTGGCCAGTGAGATGGACCTGTGCGGCCATCGTTTAGTTCGACGAAATCGGAGGACTCGTCATTTCGTTTTCCGGCCGCGTTATAGGCTAGGAAGGCGGGTGTTGCGTTTCCTTGAAATAGGCTGTAGAGATTCGCTGCGAGGGACGACCACAGTGGAGGTTTGTATAATGCGTGAAATACACCGTAATACCAGACCTGTTCGTAGGTTAGGATTCCGTAGACGGTGTTGTTGATGTATACGTCGACTGGCTGATGCCGGAGCTGGTCTAGAGACGAAAGGACCGTTTCGCGTAGCTCTTCTTTCGACGTTGCTAGTGAGGCGAGTGCACAGCTGCCAGCATCTGCTTTCATGCATTCGTCAAAGAACCCATCAAGCACTCTCTCCGTGTCGGTGAGATCTTCGGATAAACCCACGCCCTCGTACCACTCGAACTGGTTCACGACTCCGTCGATAACGACCCGCTTCGATCGTTCGGGGAAGAGCCCCGCGTACGTCTGTCCTAGGAGCGTACCGTAGCTGAAGCCCCAATATATCATATCTTCCTGGCCCACTGCATCAAGGATGCTATTCATATCCGCTGCTGTCTGCGGGGTGTTGATGTACGGCGCATAGTCGCCCATTGTTTCGGCACATGCTTTAGCGAAGTTCCGGGCCCACGCGTAGATCTCGGGGCTATCGGTTACAGCGTCGTGCGCTAGAAGATGCGACTTCTCTTGTCGCATCTTGGCATCTGGGTAACATGACGCTGCTGGTGTTGAGCTGTTTACGCCGCGCGGATCGAATGTCAGAAGATGGAAACTTTCGCCCAGTATGGTCTTGAGTTGATCGCCTCGGCGGTAGAGGAATTCAAAGCCGCTAGATCCTGGGCCACCGGGGTTTAGAAGAATGTTTTGTGTTGCGTTTGCGCCGCGTAGGCGGATCAGTCGGATTGTGAAGCCCTTGAGATTGGTTTCTGGGTTTGGTTTCTCTGTTGCGAATTGATCTATGGGGACTTCGATGCTGCTGCACTCGAGTGGTCTGTTGTGCAGGTCGCCGCATGGTACCCAGGTTATGTGTTCACCGCTGTATTTAAGAGTTTTGAGGCTGTCCCAGGGGTATGATCTGGGGTACAGGTTATAGTGATTGCAAAGAACGAGTAACGCAAAGAGTGTCCATATTAATGAGAGGCCCCAGTTCTTAAGGCGTGGATATCTTCTTTCCCGCTTTCTGGTAACAGCCCCCGGTAGAAGCTTTTCTTCCATCGTTGTCTTTTGATTTTGGCTTTGCTATTGAGTACACCAACACGTGAGAGGATCTATGAATGTGTTGCCAAGTTCTGAGAGTGTTCTTATATTGCTGCGGGGCTCCAGGGCTGTTCTCGGAGCTTACCTCAGAGTCTGGGGCTGTGCTCGGAGCTTACATCGGAGTCCGTGGCTCGCAGATACAAGGCCATAGCCTAGATTATTGTCCCCTAGCACTCTTGATTGGGCTTCTGCTCATATAGTAAGACAAGGTACTATCCTACTACAATAATATAGAAGTTGTACCGTTATAGTTTCGGGGGTAACTATCTGCATAAGTACAGCTTTGACAGCAATTATAAGTTAATTGTTACCTACATAGACCATAGGAGAATTTTTAATCCTGGTAAAAGTGAGGGAAAAAATATGAAGATTGGCATCAATAAAGACATGAAAGAAGATATCAAAGGGATGCATTGGTAATATATACACCACTATATATATACAAAGGACGTCAAAGGCGATGTCGCTATTGTTTCATCTATATTGTATCCCTATATCTATGTGTATCCCAAGCACTGATCACAGCTCCTTAAAATAATAGTTTGTGTACAATAAATTAAATGAAACCCAGGTAGCCTCATTTCCGGGCAGACGGCCGCTTTGTCGTGATAATCCCAAAGAATCTGACATAAATATACCCAACAACTTGAACCGCTGAAATATCTCGTATAGTAGTAGTCCATGAACTTGAATATGAGAGGAACCTATGGTATGATTGAAAAAGACAGAGGATTTGCGCCAGAGTTTTGGGTTGTAGTTGAGTTCCTACTACACATATCTAGTACTAGGAAAGACCTGGAAGACAGGGCGGTGAACGAGCTATCCCAGTTCATTCACGGACCATCTCAGTCAAATCATTTTCGTCTGTCAATTTTGCAACGTTCTGCGTGATGATGCAAATTGGCCGAAAGGTTATTGGCGAGTTGGCGATCCCATGTTTACCAGGACTGGATGGAATACGAAGCTACTTGGGCTTCAAACCAACTTGGAAAAGTTTTCTCTTGACTTTGTCGACTATGACTCGGAATCTCACACAAAGTATCACTCACGGCTTCAAATTTGAAGCAAATGCCACGGTAGAGGGAGTGAATATAAGGAACCTTGGAAATGCCCCCGGGGCCCGGGGCCATGGAATTGCCTTACCTAATCTCGACGCGCGGGAGAGCTCAGTCCACGGGTGGACCTGAGCTCTCCCCCAGAGATGTTGGATCTGCAATCATCTTGAAGCTATTCATTCTATCCATACTCCTACTTTCGGATACTGCAATTTGACTTCAAATTGTGGGCCCGCAAGTACTTGCATCGATTCTGCTAGGGTTATTCAACTTGACACATTCATTCCCTGCGTTTTCACTGTGTCTTGCGCTCTCAGCGACATCGAATTTATGCATGTGCTTTCTTTCTGCTTGAAGTTACAACATATTTGATCTTCGCGCCAATCAGTCAATACAGCAGAGCTTGCAATTGTTACGGTCCACGGACGTCAGGGTGAAAACTCCTGTAAAGCACAATGTTTAACGGTAATTCACAAAGAGAAGTCCCCATGTCTCATAATGAGCAGTCTCATTATGTTCGCGCACAAGAGTACACAGCTACGCCACGATATCCACCCTCGATTGGGTCTCTTGGAGCAGGCCCTTTCGGTTTCTCGGGCAACGATGACACTGTAATTGTCGACCCGAAAAATCTCAACCGCGATTCTCACCACTTTGCAGAGGGAGATTTTATTTGTCCCGGATTCTTCAACCGTGTTGATCTAGGCGGGTTCACCCGCCGCTTCAACCCTTCGCAATGGAATTACGATATGCGCCGCCAAGCCCAATCCATCCTGCCATTTTTATCTCTGGGCCCTTCATCATGTCTACGTGATGCCGATTATATCCGCAGCCAAGGGTTCACACTACTCCTTGCTATTCGAAGTCGGCACTCGGCCCTGGCACGTCTTGTCTCAGGCGAAAAAGCGGCGGCCGAGGCCGGTATCATGGCCGACACGGTTGATGTCCTTGATAACCAAGAACTTATTTCTGCATTCCCCCGCGCTATCCGTCGAATCAACGACCATCTGGCTGGTGTGGATGTGGGACCCGAGGGGATGGTGTCAGATGGCCAACAGCAGAAAAAGAAAGTACTCGTCTTCTGTGAATCTGGGAACGAACGCTCCGCTGCTGTCATCATTGCCTACCTCATGGTCATGCTCAATATTCAGGCGGTTGAAGCTACGCACATGATCCAACAGCGTCGTTTCTGTGTCTCAATCGAGGACACCATGAAGTACATTCTCACGGCTTTCGAGAGCATTCTTTCTGCTAAGCGTGATGTTGAGCGTGCTAAACAATTTACTACTCGTGGGGCTGCAAGTCTTGCACCCCCATCTGCACCACCAATGCTCGCGAAGAAGCGAAGTTTCCAAGATCATAGAAATGATGATCTTGTCATGGATGAAGGTGAAATGGACGTGGATGAGGATGATAATGAAGACCCATTCTATGCGCGAAAGCCGAGTGCTCCCTTCCAAGACCGCGTGGTCTAGAGTCAGCCGAAGTCGTTTTTTGCGAATGTCTTTCATTGGACTATGAATGGCAATGTCATGTTCATGTTCTGGAGATGGGGAGAAGGACGGATATGCTGGATGATGAAAGGGAATGAAGGGAATCTGTACATTGTTTAGAGTAGCGTGGCTGTCTCCTTTTCTTTTATGTCTGCTTTATTTGGCTGCTTTATTGCTTCATGGTTCTTACATGCAAATACCCAGCTTCAGTTGCTCGTTGCTACTAGCTTCCCAACATCCAGGACATCCACTGGCCATTACGCCTTTATATCTTCATATCCGTAAGATAATAAACATCGGAAAGATGCAATACAGGATATGGCTTCATTCTGTGTAGAAACATCGATTATGGGGTCGACATTAGAATTTGGCAAGTCTTAGGATGCGCGCACGTCGGTTGATGCACTTAGGCATCTGACCCAACGTTTGAACTCACCTTGTCGTCTCGACTCAATTTGCTCCTACCGTTTGTTTTCCTTTTCAATCTGAGAGCTCGAGTCTTGCACTGACTTTGCGCAACCTCAAAGCCACCCCGAACCTCCCTTCTCCTCTCTTCCTTCATCTCGCGCGACAGCCTCTCCATCTCGCGACCACCCCACCACGATCCCTCATCGCATCCTTACAATGAAGCGCATGCTTCCCATTGACCTTTTAACAGACTTACGATCGATACACCCACACTACCATTGAACGAAACCCCCCCTCCCCTACACCCCACGCCTCATCTTAACGCGCCGCCAAAATGAGCGGCATGAAACTGCGCGACAGTATCCGCGCGCCGGTGCGATATGGCGAAGATGAATACGAAACACCGTCACAGATCTCATTGCGCCACGGATACGATGACTCCTTTGACGACTCCATCGAGCTTGGGGAATCAGGCAGACCCCGCCCACAAAAGAGGCGCAGGCTAAACACTGTGCCATTCAACCCCAACCTGCCACCGGCTGCGTTTCCCTAGTTTGAGCAGACCACAGGCAGGTCGTGATTCCATCGCCTCTGCACAGAATCGCGGCGTTGGCGACAGCCAACAGCACATGAAGACAAGCGACGTTACACTTCCTCTCCGAAACGCTGGGACAACGCCAACCGTTCCATCGCCTCCGTCTGAGACAGAACGAGTCCCGATGGATCAGCTCGATAATCACATCGCCAGTAACAACATGGATAATCCGGTGTATGCGAGGAACGTAAACGTGGCGCGCATGACTCGTGCGGACGCGCCTCCAGCTACCGAGGATATGGTTACCTCTCCGGATAGTGATGACGATCCACTGCCAGATGCCAGTCAGGTGCTCCTTGATGCAGTAAGTATATTCTGCCTTTTGCCGTGTTAGTTCAATTGACCGAGTCTAATGTCAGTCGTCGTTTTAGATCCCAAACCCAAAATGGAAAGATCTGCACAGGGCTATGCAAGTTGAAATCGTTGAGAACACAATGAAATACCATAGCTGGAGACGTGTTTGCGACCTTCTTGGCCTGGGGCCAGATGAGCGAAGACAGCTCACGCAGACCATAAGCATTCGCAACAAACAGATCGAACGAGAGAACAAAAGACTGGACCAAATGCGGCGCAAACAGCGAGAGGTACTCATGAGAATTGATAACAGCGATTTGAAGCATTTCAAGCCGCCACCTCAACTGGTGTTAAAAAGGATTGCTCGAAAGACCAATCGAAACCTGGTCACCAAGTACACGGACCTTTTGATGTGCCAGGCCCACGACGTCCTGAAAGCCAGGCAGTACTTGCATCAACACGGACTACCTCGAAGATATGCCGGTGATTGGGGAGACAGCCTGGTGGTGCTGCGAGAATCCAATGACTCCCATGAGCCTGACAAGTTCGAATGGAAAGATAACCTGAGATTCACTCCACCCCACAATGAGATCGAGACCTTAATCAATCCTTTGATGTACCCAGTCAGGAGTGACAAGAGTGCATTCATTCAAAGCATTGGCACAAGCACGGACGGCACAGTGAACCCAAAGGATTTAATTAAACGTGACTCTGATGACCTCGGTCCTGTGATGGATTGGGGGAAGTATTACGAACGGAAACCGGACTCGTCATTGGACACCACCAAGCTCCGGCTGGGTGGAATGGTCAGGGTGAAGATCGGTCCACACAACGCCGCTCAGATCCAACAATACAAGCAGGCCGGTGTCAGACCACACTCTCAGAGACAAGTGACCGCCATGCCTGAATCACCTCCGCCGGAGTTTCCACAAGAAACACCATCTAAGGCGCCACGGAACGGGAACCTCGCCCAGCCTTTTTTCACGAAACCCGCCAAACCTATCAGCAGAGTCCTCACCGGAAACAGGTCTTCGGTAGATCTCAGCCCAATGGAAAGCCAACTCAAGTATCAACGAAGGATACAAAGGGCCAAGCTTGAGAAAATAGAAGCCCAGGCCGAGGCGATGCACCGTCAGTTCGACTACCAGCCAACCCTTCGGGCGTACCGTGGGATGACAAACATGAACGTTGATCGCGTCATGGATGAATTTGTTTGCTTTGAACCTATTGTGATGCCACAAGAAAGCGAGCCCGAGCAACCAGAGGAAGAGCAGGTTGATGAGCAACCAAGTTCCACTGACATTAGCACGATCACTGAGATGTCCTTGGATGATGTGATGCTGGTGCCGACGGATGGCTGTTCCTCTTCGGAGTAGAGGGGTAGAACCAAGAATTATTGTGGAAACAATCAAGAATTCGAGAATTTGAGACCATTTTCTTCATATTGTGTTGCAAGATTCGTTGTTTAATATTATTAATGTATGATAGTTTTGAATGATGTTTGAACTCCACTCCACGTCTGTGTAGTTCCAGCGGCGTCCCATTTAAACCTGGTCCGTGCGTCCAACGCGAAAATGCCGCGTCGAGGACGCGCTCTCACTTCGATCTCCGATATATCACAAACCAAGGTCCAAATTTGGGCAACGTTTCTTAAAACTACGAGTGTTCATTTGTCGCGAACTTGTGAACACCCTAGTCTCTGGAATTACGTTCGTTTACTCTTCGCCCCCGCGAAATTTGACATCGCGAAAACTTCTTCACCCCTGCGAATGACGTACTATCTCCATCCATCTAGTATTCGCTTTAGGTCATTGACTTCTTTTTATTTTGTTACTCAATTCTAGCAGACAAAATGTCCATTGAAGACACCGCTACTCCCACGGATTCCCGTGCGGGGACTATGGCACCTGAGTCGGTGGTTCCTTCGTCGCCACTCACGGACCCGACTGAGGTTGAGGACTCGAAGTCAACTCAAGATAAAGATGATAATCCCAAGGAAGATTTGGCCGATTCAGAAGATGTCGAGGAGATGGACAGCAAGGCCAAGGCCTTGATGCACCTGTTGAAAACCAGCTCGGTATGTCTCCAGTCCATCCTCGTCTTTTCTGATTACAGTGGTCTGATATCTTCTCGTACCTGCAGGTCTTTGTTGCTATCATGTCTGAGAAAATGAAGAAACAGCAGGAGGACGCACGCTTGGCAGCGATCAAACACCGTGAACAGGCTGCTGCGACCGAGAAGAAAACCAAGTCGCCTCCTGAACCTGCTCGCCGAGCCACTCGTACTCGACCAAACCAAGATGCGACGGATGAGAACAAAGGCACCGGCGGAAAGGCCACAGGATCGACGAGAGGTCGGCCTAAGCGGGCGGCTGCCGCCAAGAGCGGTTCTATCTCCAGTTACTTCAAGAAGGCTGATGTGGAAGTAACCGAAGACAATCCCTCTGTGCAGCAAGCACTTGAGCAGGCTGCAGACGATTATGAAGCAAACCCCACCGCACTTGGTGATCAGGACTTGGTCGCGACACAGCAGCCAGCACTTGTGAGTGGTGGCAAAATGAGAAAATACCAGCTGGAGGGCCTTGAATGGCTCAAGACTTTATGGATGAATGGGTTGTGCGGTATCCTTGCCGATGAGATGGGTCTTGGAAAAACTGTTCAGGCAATCTCCATGATTGCTTTCCTTAAAGAAAATAACGTTTCAGGTCCGTTCATGATCGCAGCACCGCTGAGTACGGTGAGCAATTGGGTGGATGAGTTCGCCCGATGGACCCCGGGAATAAAAACAGTCTTGTATCATGGTTCAAAGGATGAGCGTGCCGCCATGCGTCAAAAGCATATGAAGATGAAAAACCAGGGAGACATGGACTTCCCGGTTGTGTGCACCTCCTACGAGATATGCATGAATGATCGAAAGTTCTTGAGTCAATATCAATGGCGTTATATTGTTGTTGTACGTTTGCGTCAGTTCTTTTTCATTTACAAGATGCTAATCGATCTATAGGATGAGGGGCATCGCTTGAAAAATATGAATTGCAAGCTTGTCAAAGAACTCTTGACCTATAACTCAGCGAATCGTCTTCTAATAACCGGAACACCACTTCAAAACAACATCTCGGAGTTGTGGTCACTTCTACATTTCCTCCTTCCTGAGGTTTTCAATGACCTCAACTCTTTCGAAGGATGGTTTGATTTTTCATCCGTTCTTGACAACAAAGGACAGGCAGAGCTCGTCGAAAAGCGCAAGCGCAACTTGGTCACAAGCATGCACGCCATCCTGAAGCCCTTCCTTCTCCGACGTCTAAAAACAGATGTTGAAACTACTCTTCCTAAGAAGCGGGAATACATTTTGTACGCCCCTCTAACCACAGAGCAGAAAGATCTCTATCGAGAGATAATCAATGGTACAGGACGCCAGTACCTTGAAGGAAAGGCTCTGGAGCGTCTGGAGAGTAAGAGCGGAAGCTCCACACGCTCGCAAAGTATGAAGCGCAAACGGAATGGTAAAGACGATGCAATGCCGATCAAGAGTGCTAGAACTAGCGGGGCATCTACCCCGGCTAGTAATGGAAATAATTATAGCCGCCGACGCCGACGCAGCACGCGTCAGGGCTACAATGACCTAAGTGATGGGGAATTTGATGAGCACCTCCGCAAACTCGAGCTAGGAATTGAAGAAGAGGAGAAGACACTCGAGCCCAGCGATGCTGAGCTCGAAGAGATGCAGCAGGCTGCGAATCTGAAGCTTGCCAGTACGTCACTTTCAGGTCACATTTCCTAGTTCCTTTGCTAATATTGTTTTTGCAGAGAAAGAGATTGGACAAAAGAAGATGCAAAACCCAGTCCTACAGGCTCGCCTTGCCTGTAATTCCCCACACAATTTTTATTGGCCGTGGATGGATGAGTCGTCCTCCGTAGATGAAACACTCGTCTCCGCTTCTGGAAAAATGCTCTTGTTGGACCGCTTGGTCTCGTGTTTACTTGAGAAGGGCCACAAGATTCTAATTTTCTCGCAATTCAAAACCCAGCTTGATATCATCGAAGAGTGGGCAATAACACTTCGCTCCTGGGAGTGCTGCCGAATCGACGGCGCTATTGCACAGTCAGAACGCCAGGCTCAGATTAAAAACTTTAATACTAAGAAGAGTCACAAGCTCTTCCTCCTGAGTACTCGGGCTGGTGGCCAAGGAATTAATCTCACCTCCGCCGATACCGTGATTATCTTCGATTCTGACTGGAACCCCCAGCAGGATCTGCAGGCTCAGGATCGAGCTCACCGCATTGGCCAGACCAAGCCAGTGATTATCTACAGATTGGCGACGAAGGGTACCGTTGAGCAGACGCTCCTTGAGAAAGCGGATTCCAAGCGTCGCCTTGAACGTCTTGTCATTCAAAAAGGCAAATTCCGCTCCTTGCTTGATCCCAGTGCGAATTCCCAAGATATCGACGAACTGCGCAAGGCTCTTGGCGAGAACGAGTTCGAGCGGTTCGAGGCTGGCGCTGACCCAGCGTCGATTTTGTCAAATGAAGATCTCGACATCTTGACAGATCGTTCGGAAGAGGCCTATCTCCGTGCTGAGAAGGGGTTGGATACGAAAGGTGCTGCATTTGTTGCAGTTGAAACGAAGCGCGATTCTGGTGAGAGCATTCTCTCTTGAGGTGTTCAGTGTCTAGTTTGCTTCTTTCTTTTTTCTCTTCCATCTAAGCTACACGCTGGATGATGTCCAGTGGTTACTGGATTGTAATAATATCTGTGGTCGGCTGGCTGGTTTGCTTGGCGTTGACATACAGGGTGGGATGGGTGACTTGTTCGTGTATCGATCGCTACAGTTCGCGTTTCCTAGTCAAGTAGATACCTAGACTATGAGACATCCTCGCTATTGTGCCATGTGTTAATTTCGATGTTCTTACACTAATCAGAAATAAAAATCCAAAGAATATCTTTTTTATGCCCGAAGCTCCATGGGCATAATCTTCTGCCACTTGGTAGACCTTTCCCCTGAGGTTTCCTACAACCATGGATAGCTAGACTGACATTTACATCTCACGGGTAGTTTTTGGCTCTCAATCAAACATCATCATCCCAATCTATGTGCTCCGTCAAATTGCCCGGGGCCAGTCATTGTAGTTCTCATTCGGGTCCTGGTAAGGTCCATAGTTGACCATCCCACCTCGGTCATTGGAAGCAAGAGGGATTCCAGATACTAAACGGGTCACCAAATCCTGTTGTTAAACCCGAATAAGCTGATTGAATTGCTACGAAAATGATATGGGTAGGATCACAAACCGGATTGTAGATAAACGGTCGTGCAAACTGGGCCAGGTCAATTTGACCTGACTTTATGAGATCTTCTGCTTCCTCGAAGGTATACTCGTGGTTCACCATTAACATGGTGCTGCTTCCAGGGTATTTGATCGCCTTCCCAAACTCCTTTAATGGCTCGTAGTTTGGGGGCAATGCCTTGTCTTCTGGCCTAGGGCTTGATTTGAAGTAATCATCCTGGTTTCTACCAACGTCACACCCCCTGCGGGAAAGATTAATGAACCCCAGACTGCGCTTCATCAACTCCTGAATGTAGTAGGTGTAAGTTTCTGTTAGCTCTTCATAGCTGACCATTGTGTCGTTGTAATCATCAGATGGGCAGATCTTGATTCCAACGGCCCGAGGGCCCCAAACGGATATAATAGCATCGAGTACTTCCAAGGGGAATCGGCATCGGTTTTCCACCGATCCTCCATATTTATCGACTCGCGCGTTGGAGTGACTAAGGTATGTAAGCTCAATTCATGCTACAAAAGGGCATCGCGACAAACCTGCAAAGGAAGTTGTGCAAAAGATATCCGCTACAGAGATTGATTAGTTTAAGCCCTTTTTAATATGATCACAGAAAGGATGCTCTTACCCCTGAGAGAGCAATTCAATCCCATCAAAGCCTGCTTCCTTTGCAAGAACACATGAGCTTCTATATTGCTCCACAATGTCTTTCGGGTTTTCAATCTCGGTGATGTTTTCAGTGTGTCCCTTTCGATACATCAGCCATCTGACATTTCAGAGGTAATTGGGGGTGCCCAAGGATACCGGTGTTCCATCTAAGGTTCTAAATTTCCCTCCCTTGGCCTTGATCTTCGAAGGGGCAAGGACAGGATAGTTATGCTCCTTGAGCATGGGCATATTATCGTTCTGGATTCGGCCAAAACATGATGAATTTAATATTAACTGTTACCTGCATTAACTGTTACCTGCATCATTGTATTGGGAGGACGTACCTGGATGCCAGGGCTGGAACAAAATTTTTCCCCCTTCTTGGTGGACAGCATCGGTGACAACCTTCCAAGCATCTGAATGGCTCTTGTCAAACATCACTGGTGCATAGGGCCATTCCGCACCATGCGGGGAGATGAATGTCCCTTCTGTGACAATGAGACCCGTGCCGTCTCGAGCACGCTCGGCGTAATGAGACACGGTTGCTTTCGTCGGCTTGCCATTGTCAGTGCAGCGATTTCGTGTCATAGATCCCATGCAGATACGATTCCTCAAAGGAATGGTAGCTCCAAGAGTAACCGACTCTAACAAAGGAGACATTTCCACACAGGCTGATGTGGTATTTGGTATAGAGTCGAAGAAATGAGGGATAAGGTATTTCTTTCACTAGTTGAAGCAGACTTAGTAGGTCAAATACATAGCTCTTTTCCCACTTGCTAGTTACCAACTTTGGAATGATGTCAAAGTCAGAGCTTGCGTCCGTTGCATTGCGGGATGTAAATTCCGCAACCCACGGCAAAGCGTCGGCAGTGGAAAAGAAATCCACATTGAACTTGGTAATTATACAGATTGTGAGTGTACTATATCGTATTGCTATGGATCAAGCCTATTATTAAATATGCCATGGGATATGAATCCATTCTGTTGTAAAGGCTTTTTATCAAACACACTAAGGTATATATGCATTAGACCTGCTTTTAACTACCTCATGCCATATGTATTGATAACTATTTCATACAATTGTTGTGGATATGTCAAATGAGATAGGAATTGACATTCCGCGCAGTGGGGCTGATCCCCGATCTGGTGGATGTATAAGGGCTTTCTGAACATCCATCGTATTGCACTGAACTATTTTCATTCGAAATAAAAGTACACTTACTCGATCTTCTTTCTTATTCTTTCTGCCAACCCACCTAAAGCTTCCGGTTTATCATGTCTCACCTAAAATTCTACGCATACGAAGGAGCCGGAATCCAAAAGCAGAGGGACTTCTGGTATAGCCAAGCCGTTCGAGTGGGCGATCGCATTGAATGCGCAGGCCAAGGTTAGTGATGCCAACTTTTCACCACTTTTATTTCTCCCAAATCGTCCTTGAGAACAGCCTAGCTGACACAGAATGATCCGTGTGATGTTCAGGTGGCTGGGACCCTGCTACTGGCGAATTTGAGCGGGAAATCAATGCTCAGATTGACCTTGCATTTTCCAATGTAGAGCGCTGCTTAAAAGATGCCGGTGGAAAAGGCTGGTCCCAAGTGCACCGCGTGAATTCGTACCACGTTCCAATCAATAACGAGGCGCTAGCGGCGATGGTCCGTAACTTCAAAAAGTACATGCCGGACCACCAGCCCATCTGGACATGTGTTGGTGTTACTCGGTTAGGTGAAGATGACATGCGTGTTGAAATTGAGGTGGTCGCTCACGACCCTGAAGGTGCTAAGACAGTCGGTTCTTCTTGAGGCGTTGGAAGGGAACGAACGGGCCTGTCATTAATGGGGTAACTTCTGTACACGATGTCACGATGTATCATAGTTGTTGAAACAGGACTTTGAAAGAGAGAGACTTGGGGCATTTAAAGAGTCACATAACTGGCCTCAGATATGAGATTTCAGGTACGATTTCCACAGTTTCACACTTAGCTTTCTTTTTTCAACGGTTGAAAACTACAAAAGAAAGAGTATCTTTCTATAGAATGTATGAACAGTATCACAGCAGCGCATAATTGATAATCGCTACAAAGCATAGAATGATATAGGTTTGGTCGTTTCTATTCTATCCACCTCTCACTCAATCATTCGGAACAAACGCAACAGTCAAAATCATTTAAAACTAGATATAATATCCAATTATAGTTCTGTTTCCGAGTACGCTTGCACCTATAATGTTCTGTGGCACAAGGAGAGGCATCGCTATCTGAGAACCAAACTGGATGATGTGATAATTATTAGACAAAGTTACAAGACAGATACACTAACGCAGTCACCGAAGAGCCATGCAGTTTATAACTACAGCCTAAAACTTTCTAGCTGGTGTGTGGGCCTCGAACAAGGCATCAAGTTCGGCAAACGATTTACCCTTAGTTTCGGGGATGCAGAAAAAGCATACCCCACACAAGAAGATACCGAATCCAAGAAACAAAAGTCCCGACTTTGGCCCAAGGTTTGCGTTGTCTTGGTTGACCAAGTAAGGGATGGCAATAGACCAGACCATGTTGAACAGCGAGCTAGACAAGGCGGCAATAGATGTCGTCTTCGCACGCAGGCGTGAAGATGAGATTTCTCCGACAATAGCCCAACCCACCGCGCCGACAGATGCATAGTAGAAGACTGCCCATATGATACAGAAGGCAGCCAGGGCACGGTAATTCCATTTCTCTCCCACGCCAAAGAATCCCAGCAGTGAGATAATGAGGAGGCATACTAGCATACCGTAAGTACCGAAGAGGAGTTGCTGTCGGCGTCCCACACGTTCGATCAGGGAGAAGGCGAAAAGAGCCGCAACCAGTGAACATACCACAGATATGACAGTAATGAGGAACGCATTGCTCATTCCCGACAAAGTTAGGAAGTAAGACAGATAATTGCCGCAGAGGGGGTAGCCAATAAAAATCTGCATCACCAAAGGTAGACATGCCAGGAGGGTTCGACGGAGGTTCGACCCCTGGAAGCATTCGAGGAAGGAAGCTGATGTTTCGTCGGCTTGCCGTCCATGGGCCAGAGTCTCTTTTATCTCACGTAGCTCCTCGTCGCAGTTAAAGTCCCTGCTTCCCCTCAGCTTGGCAATCGCAGCCTTCGCATCTTCCAGTCTGCCTTTTGCGACGAGGAAATAGGGAGACTCTGGGACAAAGGGAATAAACATGGCCAGGCAGAAGAATGCGGGACCGAATTGGGATACGACGGCGCCTTTCCAAGACCAAGGACTATCGACATGGCTCGTTCCCTCGAGAACGCATGAAGCAATAAGCTGACCCAAAATAATCCAGAATTGAAACAGTGAGAGCGTGAGTCCTCGGATAGCGGTTGGGGTAATCTCTGAGACGTATGTTTGTGTGTTGGCTTGCATGGAACCCATGGCAGCCCCCATGAAGAGTTTAGCCACGACCCAAACTTTCCAGTTTGGGGAGAATAGCTCAACGAATGTGCCGATAACAGTAAGACTGGAAGGGGGGAAGAATTAGTATCTAGGTTGGCTTCAGGAAAATCCAATCTTTGTAATTGAGTGACATACCCGACGGTAATAAGGAAGCAAATGCGACGGCCGAGGATATCGTTCAGACTACCCGAGCCTATAGCAGAGACAATTGCCGAGACATACTGGACAATGGTCCAAACCAGTTGTTGGCCTGCAGGAAGTGTCCAGACTTGAAGGCCTTCATCGTAAGTACCAAACTGCTGGACGAACTTGGAGTTTGCGATAATCGAGCCAATCAGGGTCAGGTCGTATCCAATGAGGATGGGTGTAGTAGAACAGGCGAAGGCTTTTCTTAAGTTAGCATTATCAACCTCACAGTGTTGAAGTCAGAGGTTATTTACCAGCTAGTATGGCATGTTTGTGGGTTTTCATTGCCTTGAACTGCTCCTTGAATGACATTGACTCAACCGTCATTGTGCCTTCGGCATCTCCAGATCTTATTTTCTCGACATCAAGACTATGCTTCGGATCTTTCTCGTCTGCCATTGTGAATTGAATGAAATGTCTGTAGGTAAAAATTGAGTGAGAACAGGTGCTTGTCCCAACATCTAAGCTTGCAGTGGAGGCAGGTATGTCAATATATAGGCCCTCCCCTACTGATAGGGAATAGCCCCGGCTTTCCAGTTCCAGAGAGCATAGATAGACCCGGGGAATCTGGGGAGAAAAATGGGTCCATCAAGATAGTGGCAGGTGATGTCAGGAATTCACGTTCCGCCGATATCTGAGGTGGAGACAAACGGAATAGCTTGGGGAAAAAAAGATAAGTGAATTCCGCTCTGGGAACTCCCAAGGTTATGTCTCTCATTTGATCTTGGTTGGATATACCTAATCATTGGGTATTTCCTATGCTCATTTTATCGGATAGCATATACTTGAAATCAGTGGTAACCCCATTTAGAACTTCAAGACCGGGGTCAAGTGTACTCTGGTTTCTACGCTCCCACATTGCCAAGGCTGATAATATAGACGGAAATAGTAATCTTGAACACCCTCCATGGAGAAAAAGCAATATCCCCCCCCACAGAAAACCATCAGACGTAAGAGGGAATATAAATTCCTCGGGTCCACCGTAGCGGGGCGTGAATTCCGCCTTTATCTCTGTGTTGGCTCATTAGAACAAGTCATCTTCTCGAAAATAAATAGCCCAATTTAAATTTCTCTTTTCTATGTCCATTTTTACGCGCTACGGAACCGTGTTGTGAGAAAACGGTAGCCATGTCGGATGATACTGAAGCCTTGTTCTCAAGCCTAACACTTGAGGAAAAGCTCAGCTTAATTGCGGGTGAGTCCCAATGGCGAACAGCCAACATCGAACGCCTGGGGATTCCTTCCCTAAAGGTTAGTACCCTTATCATAAATCCATATACTGGTGAATTAACATCGGGCCGTGTAGATGTCAGATGGACCCTCTGGAGCACGTGGAGAGATCTTCGGCGAGGGCGTTCCAGCCGCTTTTCTTCCCTCGGGTGTGAGTCTGGGAGCAACTTGGGACCGAGATATTCTATTCGAGATTGCCCAGTTGCTAGGAGATGAAGTGAGTAATCTTCTAACAAGCCGCTAAGCTTGGGGGCTAGACTAACATATGGCAGTGCAAATCCAAGTCCGCATCGGTATTGCTTGCTCCTACCATCTGTATTCATCGGCATCCACTCGGCGGCCGCAATTTTGAATCTTTCAGTGAAGATCCATACCTCACTGGAAGCCTGGCAACGGCTTACGTCCGAGGCCTTCAGTCTCGCGGCGTAGGTGCAACACCAAAGCATTTTGTTGGTGAGTCTCTCACCCGCGTCAGGACTTATATTTTCCTGTGGTTCTGACTCCATGTTTTTCTAGCCAATGACCAGGAGACCAAACGGTTTAAGTACAATGCTCACATTGCGCCCCGTGCCTTACGTGAAATCTATCTGTTGCCGTTCCAGATGGTCGTTCGTGATGCAGACCCATGGTGCATGATGACAGCTTATAACAAGGTAAACGGTCATTACTGTGACGCATCCAAAGAGCTGCTCACTGATATCGCTCGGGGTGAATGGGGTTGGGATGGTGTTTTCACAAGTGATTGGGGCGGAACTACTTCCACGGTTGCGTCTATCAACAACGGCCTTGACCTGGAGATGCCCGGACCACCTACCAAGCGCTCCAAGGCCGCTCTCGGGCAGCCTCTTCAGGAGGGCTTGATTAATCTGGACCGAGTAGATGAGTCTGCAGGCCGTATACTCCGACTTCTCAAAAAGGCGGGCCGATTTCTGGATCCTAGGGACGACCCGGAGCTGTGCGATGACACACCTGAGAAAAGAGCCCTGCTTTGTCGTGCAGCTAGTTCCGGGATCGTGATGTTGAAAAATGAGGCAAACGCTTTACCTATAAAGCCATCCGAAGGTCTTAAAAAGCTCGCCATCCTCGGGCCCAACGCGCAAAGAGTCGTTGCCGGCGGTGGTGGAAGTTCCTACATCAAAGCCCCATACTGGACTTCTGTTCACGACTCAGTCAAGGAGGAATTCCATCATACTACCACAGAGATCGTGACTGTGGCTGGTGCTAAAGTCAATCGCTACCTTCCCGTCTGCGGGGTTGTGCAAAATCCGGATACTGGGAAAGCTGGAGCCGCCATTGACTGGTTTAATGGCCAGGATTTTGCGAATTCTCCAGTCGCAAAAACTCACACGTATGTTATCACTCTCTTTACTCTCACATTATGGCCTTCCTACTGATGACTCTTTGTACAGTGATGACCTCTATTACATGTCTTTTGGCACCGTCCCACCCGAGCTCAATGGTGCGGCTGCCAACTGGTCGTTCCGCATCCGCGCTACGCTACGACCTTTGACATCTGGGCGTCACGCAATATCCCTAGCCTCAATCGGGCCGGCAGAACTGTACCTCGATGGAGTCCTCATATCGGAACAGTCCGGTGCCTATGATGAGAAAGGCAGTCTATTCTTCACCTATGGCAGTGAGGAGAAGGTGGTTCCTGTCGATATGATTGCGGGACGGGATTATGACATCCGCATCGATTATCGGTCACACGATCGACAACTCCAGCCCGAGCTTCTCGCTCTGCTGGATCCGATGGAAGATCAATTCCAAGGAATTCGCCTCGGCTTCGAGGAGTTCGATACAATGGACCGACCTGCTGAGGCGGCACAGCTAGCATCAAAGTGTGACGCTGCAATTGTTGTCGTTGGACGTGACAAGGAGTGGGAGACAGAAGGTCAGGATATCTTAGCCTTCGACTTGCCCGGAGAACAGGTGCGGTTGATTCGTGAAGTGGCTGCTGTTTGTAAACGCACGATCGTGTGCGTACAGGCCGGAACTCCCGTCAGAATGGATGAATGGATAGATGATGTGCAGGGAGTTCTGTATACTTGGTACCAAGGTCAGGAACTAGGAAATGCCGCGGCGGCTGTGCTGTGTGGTCAAGTTAACCCTTCCGGCCGGCTGCCAATGACTTTTCCACGACGAGTGGAAGATTGTCCTGCGTTCTCCTCGTTTCCGGGAGAGGAAAATGAAACCTATTACTCCGAAGGATTGTTCGTTGGTTACCGATGGTGGGATCTTCTCTCCATTGAACCCTTGTTCCCTCTCGGGTTCGGCCTCTCGTACAACAATTTTGAGGTTTTGCCGGGTTCTATTAGCACTCAGCACCTTGTAGAGGGTCCCCCTCTAACGTTGACTGTTCATGTTAGCAACACTGGAGGTAGCGATATACCTGGCCGGGAGACGGTTATCGCGTGGTTCTCTCAATGCTCGCCCAGGCGGTTGACGAGGCCCAAGAAGCAGATCTGCGGATTTTCCAAGTCACGTCCATTATCGCCAAATGAAAAGCAAGAGGTTGAGATCGAGGTCGATTTCCATGCTTTTGGCATGTATGATACGAAGCAGGGCGTGTGGATTGTCGACGCAGGGGCTGAGTTCGAGATCCTCGTAGGAACAACAGCATTGAATGCGGTACCTACTTGGAAGTTAAAGGCAACTCAGGAGATTAGTTGGATCCGCTAGTATTGCAGGAAAAAAAAAACACTTCGGTATATATTTTATCCCACGAAAGTATTACATGCATCTGTTTCCACGTACCAGATTAGAGTTGCCTATGCCACTCTATATCTCGTTTATTTGGTACATATATATGGTACGACGGGTTGGATTATGCGTAAGAACCTCTACCCTCCTAGTCCTTAAAAGGAAGGAATATGATTTGCTCCAATGTAGCAAGTAGCACATTTGAATACCTTTTCAACGTTGAATGCCTTCATGTTTGGTTTTATTTTCTTGTATCCAGATCATTATCATGAATCTTTTCCCAGTTACTCTTCGGTGAGTATTTTAGTTAGGTACATGGGCAACGACCTCAATTTCCACACGCATATCATCCTCACCAAGACGAGTAACACCGACACAAGTCCAAATGGGCTGATGCCCGGGCGTGTACTTCTCAAAGTTGCGCACCATGGCTGCTAATGCCTCATCATTGATAGGCACATGGTACGAGTTGACGCGGAAAACCTGGTTCCAGCCTTCACCACCAGCATCCTTCAGGTTATGCTCGACATTGGCGAACGCTTGGTCGATTTGTTCATTGATTTCCCGGTAAATCTCGCCACTCTCACGGTTCCAACCACCTAGACCCGACAAGATCAGCAAATGAAACAAACCATACAGTCAGGCTGATTGCTCACCTTGGCCTGCGCACTCGATCCGGTCTCCGATTCTAACAGCTTGGCTGTACTTGAATTTCTGGCGATTCCTCTCGCCAACGCCTTTGTAGGAGAAATATTGAAGGTGAGACATGATGAATTTTTCGTGAATGGTGAATTGTGAATTGTCTGCAGTTCCGGGGAAATACCAAGCTATAAATATTTTCGAGGTAGCGGAATATACATTCCGCAAATAGGACTAGCGTGGGGCACCCAGGTGTACAGCGTCCAGGGTTCGTTTCACTAGATTAATGCCCGAAAGCCTGATTTTGACCTGATTTACGCCTTAACCATGCCTGATATTAGACTGCATTCAGGCCTCAATATACACTGTACTGTAAACAATTCGGCATGTAACAACCATCATGCCCGGTATATAGAAAAATGAAGCTTTTGGTCCCATATGAAATTTAAATATGTCCATTTCTGGTTTACAATCGCACTTTGCAGATATTTGAAACTTTCATGTGATCAAGAGCCTCATTCTACTTTCCTGCCTAAAGCCGGTAGAACCAGGGTACATTGCTTAATAAGGGATCTATAATGGTATTTCAGGTATGATACATATGCCTGCCTTTAAACGAATTAGAGCTTCTTTCTTATTATTCCTAGAAAAGAAGTGCCCTTCTATATTCTTTAAAATTACGGATCTAAATCCTCTCGGTAATAATCTTTAGATATAGAAGCCGAGGAATCATATGGGACCCTAGGGTTGAGTGAATAGAGACAAATTATATGGGTTGGTGCGATGGCGTCTAAAACCTGCCGTACATACTCCTAGGTAGTGATCCTAATGGATCCAGTTTGACTTTTTTATCTAACATGTCCTACATATTGCACAATAAACCAAATGAAACGGGTATTCCTAGGGCTAGTGCTTTTTTTAAGGTAAGCGGGTCGGATGGGTCAGAAGTGCCCAGGTGGGTACTAAATCTTGAGCCTCACCCGGACTACCAACCTGGGTATGAGGCCGGTGGAAACTTCATTGATACTGTCAACGTTTATCAGAACGAGCAGTCAGAAGAATGGATTGGTGAATGGGTTGAGGCGAGCCAAAACCGGGACTCGCTAGTTCTAGCCACCAAGTTTACGATGGACTACCGTAGCCATGCTATTGGCAAGGGCCCCCGAGCTGCCAACTTTGCGGGTAACTCCCGCCATAGTATTCATGTTAGTATTCGTGATTCGCTAAAGAAGCTACGTACCGACTATATTGGTAAGTCTTTGACTACTCCCTAGTATCGTTGACATGTGGGCTCCCCCTTTATGACTTGTATCACCTCCGTCAGATATCTACTACGCTCACTACTGGGACTTTACCACCTCGATCAAAGAGGCCATGAATCCCCTCCACATTCTCGTCAAGCAGGGCAAGGTTCTATACCTAGGAGCATTAGACACCCCCGCCTGGATTGCGGCCGCCGCTAACACCTACGCTATCGACCACGGGAAAACTCCCTTTAGCATCTATCAAGGACGTTGGAACCTTCTTAATCGCGACTTCGAGCGTGATATCATCCCTATGGCCCGTCAATTTAGCATGTCTCTTGCACCGTGAGTATCCCATACTCCCTTCAATTTCAATGGTCCATTTCTGATACGTGAAAATAGTTGGGATGTTCTTGGTGGAGGCAAGTTCCAGTCGACGGCCAAACTCGAGCGCCGTAAGAGTGCTGGAGAAGGCCTGCGTGCCTTCGCCGGCCGACCTCCCCACGAGACCGAAGAAGAGATTAAAGTCAGCGAGGCTTTGGAAAAGGTGGCATCTGAGCACAGCATCAATCTGTCACCTCATTCGCACTAGCTTACGTCATGTCTAAGGCCGGCAATGTGTTCCCTCTGATCGGCGGCTGCAAGGTCGAACACCTCAAGGATAACATTCGGGCCCTGAGTCTCAAGCTGACCCAGGACCAAATCATGCATCTAGAGGGTCAAGCCCTTCGACCCCGGCTTCCCGCATAATATCATCCCCGCAGACCCGAATGTTACTGGTTCGTCATTCTTGATTGGGCGAACCAATGCCATGAAATTCCCCAACGCCCAGAAGCCGACCTCCTATGAGAGATCGGTACTGGTGGCATGACGATATGTAACATAAAAAAAGGGGATTACCCGCAGATTGTGCATAAGACATAGAACTAAGACAATCCTGTCTGAGGCATAAATGAAGTAAATCTATCCACAAGTTCTTGTTAGTGAGTAATTACAGCTAGAACTTGTGAAAAAAAAAAAAGTGAGGAGTTGTCATTTTCCTTCCGTTTAAATATTGACTTCATTTTCGAATTGGAGCGCCTTTCGCGAATATTGGATTAGTAGACAGTAGGCTGCATGGTTCTCCAGTTTTTCAAGTCGACGGCTGGACATAAGGACTAGATATTGATCGTGCCTACTGATGACGGACCAGTGAGCACGGGTCACAGGGGCAAGTGCCATAAGATTAACTACCTAGGTGTGTTTATAGAAAATAATCACAATGAGGTCAACTTGCGGTTAGGTAGAACCATGATGCCTCACTATTGTATGTTGAATTATTTCATCTCTTATACTCAGAAATAAAATGCAAATATCCATTTGACGCCTGAAGCTCCCTAACAAGAAAATGGCTGTACATGATAGTCGCAAGAATCAAGAAGGTAGGGCATATATGCAGCGAAAGGGGTCACGGAAAGAAAAAAGAAACAAAAAGCATAGGCCAACGAGTCCGCTAATCCATATTGACACAGGAAGCAATCACCGCCGAGCTTTCTCGTCCTCTATCTGGCTGCGGAGGTCTGAAAGGACATTATGCCGTTGGGCCATATGGTTCTTCAGCCCGTCCACCTGTTCCCCAACAGCCTTGACATCCTCCCGAAGTCGCTCCAAATCCTGACCATCCTTAGCACGGCCAGTACCCTCACGCAACTCCCGCAACTCCCGCTCCTTATACTCCAAGAGCGAAAGTGCCTCCTTCTTAATGAGAACCCAGTTGGGCCGGCCATCATGGCGCGGGCCATCCCGTCTAGAGTCGGAGGCTTTAGTGGCGGAGCTCAGCTTCTTCTCCAGCTCCGCAAGCTCACGGCGCAGCCGTACCTTCTCCCACTCCTCGTCCTGGATCGTGTCGCTGAAATCTGTTCCCTTGGGCTGGTATGAGCCCTTGCCGCCAACGCCCAGACGACCGAGGTAAGTATCGCCGAACTTGGCCTTGCGGCCTGTCCGTGTTTCCGTATCGCCGTCTGCGCCGTAGCGCTGTGCGGGTCGTGCCTTGTCGACTTGGTAGTCGATTTGGTTGTGCTCGAATGAGGCGCGCAGGGATGCGGGGATGGTGCGCGGGATGCGGAAACCCTCGTGGCGGAAGTTCAGGATGTGCAGGAAGGCAAGTGTTGCATCTTTGTTGATTGCGGGTGATGCGGAGGGGTTGACCAGATTCCAGGCGGAGCGGATATCGGTGTCGGGGACATCGAGTGATTCGTAGAGCGGTTGTAATTGTTGGACTGGGAGATGGTCAGCGGGGTATTTCTCCGAGCGCGCTGTGCGCGCTGTACGGGGTACTCACATTCTACTTGGCCGCGCGCGTTCCGGTTGGCGTCGTAGATCTCGGTGTACTTGTTCTTGTCGTCGGGCTTCATATACCAATCAAAGCCGTCCTTCAGGCCGAGCGAGTCGTCCTCATCTTCTATCCGCTCGAACTGCTCCTGTCCGGTGCTTAATGCGCGGGTCGCATGGACGAGATGTGACTTTGACTCTGGGACTAGCCAATCCGGCAAGACATTTGGGACATCTTGTAGTTCCTGTACAGATAAGACGTCGTGTTAGAACGATTTAGTGGTGATTTGAGATGGTGGGTCACTTACGCCGTTGACCAGGTCGAACACTAAGCGCATCGCAACACAGAACTCCTCGAAATCCAGCTCCCCGTCTCCGTCGACATCGGCAATGTCCCAGACCTTCTCAAGCTGATCATCGCGGAGCCGGCTGTTCCTCAGCACCGAGGCGGCTTGGGAGCTGTTGAGGTGTTTTTGGCCATTTGATAATGAGGCGAAAATCTCCCAATATCGCTCAATCTCCCATTGCTCAATCTTTTTAGTAGCCATGATGTATGGAGCTCCGATGAATGGCGTGGAGGATGAGGTGGGAACAATGGGGGAGAGACTCGGATTTACCTACTTCCGTCAGGGGCTCTGAGGTCATTGGACTTTATTGGACTCACAAAGTTATCTTTGTGTACGACGTACGGAGTATAGCGTTCATATTCAAATGTTCATAATAATTATCGTCTATATGGTTATCTATTCAAATTCTATATGTTCCTTGCATTATGGTACATGACCCCTTCATTTGTTTAGTAGAAGAGCTCGATGTCTCCTTACCCCAGAACATGATGATTAAACGCTCATTATGAATCCTTCTTCTCGTCTTGCTTATTTTGCTTGGTCTTCGCTGCGGCCTCGAGCTGCTGACTGACTTGGATGATCGCTCGTTCGGCTTCCAATGCAAGCTCCGGTGCGTCCAGGATTGTAGCCAACCTCTTGGCATCAGACATCTTCAACAGGACCCGGTCCTCACTCTGCTCTATGTTCTCGGCAACATCGGAATATGAGGTCTCGGTCGTGGTACCTTCGAGTTTCTGAGATGCGCGTTTGGCATACAGCTGTTCTATCTCCGGTAATGAGATGGGGTTGAGGAGATTCTTCTCGACGAGGAATTCTAGATGTCTTGAGCCATTCAATGCTGTGTATTATCGTCAGCTTCATGCACCAGGCCCGTATAGAATATCAAACTAACCGCGCCAGTGGGACCAGCCCCGGTATGCCAAATAGAAAAAGGGAATATTCGGAACCCTGGTCTTCATTAGTATATCATATCATCGCGGAAAACTCGAGGCATTCACATACACTGGTATCAATCCAAAGGGTGCTGTAATTGGCGCAGCAATCAAGCTCCACATCATCCTCTTTCGATGGATTTCCTGCCTCTCCGTGGCGATCATGCGCACCACTTGCTGGATTCGCTCCAGCCGCATCGCGTTACCGGGGAACAGCACATCCACCTTGGTCTTTCCATGATCACCATTGATTCGCAATTGGGTTTTCAATGAAGGAATGCTCTTGAGGGCCCATTCTTCGTATGGTATCCGTTGCTGAACTCGGTTGCCCCAGCGAACAAGGTGCATCTTCCATCCTTTGTCGGCTTCCTCCCACTTCGCCCATGTTTCAGCCGCCTTTGTTGTAATCCTATCAAGATAAGAAAGCTCTTTCGCTAAATCCTTGTTAAGGGGTCGCGCATATATAAGAGCTCGTTTTGTCGAGATCGGAATTAGGAAAAGGCGCATGGTGGAGGATGTCTGAGACAATTGATAAATCGGCAATCGATAATCGCTTGATCGCGGGGAAGATAATAGATATCAAATGGATCGGGATAAATGAAATAGAAGAAGACTTTCACAACAAATAGTCTGTTGAAACTTGAATTTTATTTTTCGTGTGGGTGAAAAAGGGATGCGGGAGCAAAGCAGGTCCACGCGTTGGATAAATCGAGACGTCATTCCGAGGTCCGCGTACACTTTCATCTTAGGAGAGTTCATCCCTGAACAACCATACTTCCTCCTTGATCAGCAATTGGGGATTCGCGGGCAAACTGTTGGTTTGAAGTTTCCCGCGGCTCCCGAGTTTCAGGTTTTAACTTCTCTGTATGATGGACAGCCCCAAAGACAGCGCTCCAGGGCGAGTCTTTGGTGAGAGGCTGGCAGAGAAGTTTCCGCCCATCCCAGAGTCATCACCGCTGCCAGGCCCTCTTAGAGTCGATACCGAGTCTGCTGTTCGCAATAAAACGTCCGATTCAGCACTTGCGCGTACAGACGGTCAGACAGCGGAAGAAGCCGCATACTCTCAACGCTCCGTCTTACGATCTCTACCTGGTATGGTCGCATTTGATGCTCAATTCGACGATCAATCACTAATAATGAGTTCTTGTAGCCTGGATCCGATCGGTCGATGAGCCCGAGGAGGACGGAGATGAAGCTACCGCAACCGATCGCTTACTTCCTTCCCAACCAAATGGCGCATTTATCGCTCAGCACAACCACTCGCCCTATTCATCGTCGAAGCCGCAACCTAATCACGCGACCACTAACGGCCTTTTTGAGGATGAGTCTACACCCGTCAACCGTGAATCGCGCTGGGTGACATTCTCACGAGCCATCCAATACCCCCCGAGAGCCTGGTAGAGAGGAACAGCATGTCACGTCAGAATGGCTGAATGAGAATCATGGTGATTATTTGCAACCATGGCGAGGAAAGCACCTAGAGGGCGATAGTCCGGAGTATCCGCTACACAGCGGAGGCCGAAGGGATATATGGATCAAGCGTTTCAGGAAGACCCTTCTGCGAAGCCCGATCGTGCCGCTGATTCTTCGAATGACTGTTTGGTGCTTTTCACTATCTGCACTGGCTCTGGGTGGATCGATTCAACACATGTCTGATCAAGGGCATCACCCTCAGGGCCCATCTGCATTGATGGCGATCATCGTCGACGCAGTCGCCCTGGTTTACCTATTATACATCACCTTTGATGAATACACGTCAAAGCCCTTGGGTTTGCGCTCTCCCTCGGCTAAAGCACGTCTCATCCTCCTTGATATCTTCTTCATTGTCTTCGATTCCGCCAATCTTAGTTTGGCATTTGATTCACTCTCGGAGGTAACAGGATCCTGCACCGAGGCGGAGGTCAATCAAACCCTCGATCCTCGAAATGATGGTATATGTACACGACAAAAGGCACTTGCTTCTGTATTGCTGGTTGCACTCTTGGCTTGGCTCATGACGTTTTCCATTAGTGTTCTCAGGTAAGGCCCCATGTCTAGGATTGACATCCTCACTCCATTTTCTAACACTCTACTAGGCTTGTCGAAAGAGTAACACAGTGATTTTCCGGTCTTGTTGTGTTTCATAAATCTTCTAGCTGTTGATTAACTATACCATTTATGC